ATGCATCGATTTATGTTTATATGATTGTGGTTATGGTTGTGCTTTATTAATCCCTAATCTCTGCCATTACATACAATGAAACAAGAAATGGTAAAAAAGTAAAAACAAAGCAATGTAATACAATACACTATTATACGTTATTGTAAAAAAATACATAAAAAGTCCATCCCATGTGTTAGTGAATTGAAATGAGTTTTCAAATTTAGATATTTTTTTGGGTTGGGACCCCGAGACACCCTGGAAGATTTGGTCCCCCACAATGTTGACTCCATGGCTACGGCCTTGCCATACTGAGCCAGCTTGTACAGAGTGGACGTTCAATTCCTACGGTTGCCCAGTCATGTCTGTGGCAAGTTACGTATTTAAATAATAGGTTTGAAACATCATCAATGCCTCCATCGAAATGGTCACATCCTACAAGGCAACGTTGACAAGAAATGCACTCTCAATTTATTGCAGATAAAATCAACAAAGTAAAAATAACAGATCATGGCCAAATAGACGTGGATATTATGTTTGACATCTTTTTTTGTTATATTTAACCTGTTAAAAGTGTTTTCTGTGTGTTGCAGTAGTGACCTCCGGAACTTGGAGGATCGCACAGGGTCCATTGGTCTTTATTGGGAGCCACCATACCAAAGAGGTTGAGAATTACCGGTCTATAGAGTGGCTAATTAATGCTGCTCATTAACGCTCCCTCTCAGAATAGCACGACAGAATTAGGTGGGGTATTTTTAACCTACCTTGACAACCTTTGATAGGAAGGAACGTCCGGCCCGCGGGCCGTATGAGGCCCGCAAAATCATTTGATCTGGCCCTGCCAAGGCAACCGCAGGCGGGACTCGAAATTCAATAAATTTATGAGCAAACCTGGAAAAGCAGTTGCGAGTAGCAACATCGTCAATACCAGCTAACATCACACGCCTCACCAAAGAGAAGCAGTTCCAGCCATCGCATTTGGGGCGAGTAATGAAATGTTTGACCAAATATAACAGGCAAATTTTTAAGTTGATCATTTTGTATGGCCCGCGAATGATGTTATAAATATCCAAACGGCAGTTGTCAGAAAAAAAGGTTCCCCACCCCTGATATAAAAGGTCCCCAGTTCGTTACTTTGACGTGGGCTTCGGGCTTAGGGAGCCAACGAGTTTAGGATAGGTATAGTCATTGTGAGTGTGTGTGTGTTCATACGATCCGACTAAACCAGCCACTTTAACAAACCCCTGCGGGTTTGCGATTGCCGCTTGGGAAACGACACCCGCAAGGCTTTTCAACAACGGCCGAACGTGTGACTGTCACACCACGCAACACGTGACGTTTGGTGCCGAAAAAAATGGAAAGGCACTGAGTCACGCATTTTTTTTTAAAGAGAGCATCCAAAGAATGCGTTGTTGTTGTTCGCTTTAACTCTCTTCGCATGTCTTGCCGATTTGTCCTGTCGATCTTGCTTTATCTGTCCAATATCTTTGTAGCCCCTTTTTTTTCACTTTTGGGGGCGAAATGTTGAAGCTTTGTTTTATTTTATTAAATGTTAAACGAAAGGCCCAACAACCACTGTACGTTATGAATGCCCACTAAACACAACGCACAATTGGAGCTCACGCAATGATCTCCACCGAGTTTGTGTGCACAAACAGCACGATCACCTTTCCAAAGGCACTCCAGATTTGCACTCGTCCACCTGTTTATTTCGATGCCCCTTCCGCCTTCAGTAGCTGTCCCATGTACACACACACACACTCCGCTCTCTCTTCCAGTCGTGATCCTCGTATGGAGACGTCTCCAGATTGATTTGTGAACTTGTTCCCGCGTGACCTTTCCGCTGCTCGTATTTATCACGAGCACAGCGTTTCCGGCCTTCACTACGGCCTTGAGCTCTTCTCACAATCCTTTTCGTTCATTCGCATGCGATGTTATAATGAACTTTGTCAGAAACATCTGCGGCGGTTCGTAATGTTTGCTCCGTAATTATGTCATGTCCCTTCGTTTCTTCAACACGACGTTCGGCAAGCGTCCGCTAATATCGCGGTGAATAACCTGGGCGAAAGAGTGTCAGCTTGTCCATTTAATGTATATGTTGGCGCTATCTTCATGTGATCCTTCTGTGGCTGTTCCATTTCTATTAATTGATTTTATTATTTCTGAAAATGTTTTTTCGTAAAATTTGGTGAGAGCTTGGATGGTTGCGTCCATTTTAACCGCGTCAAATGCTTTTTCATAGTCTGCAAAATCTAGCCACCATGGTAATTGAAATTCACGAGTTTATTTCAGAATCCGATTAATCATATACATCTGGTAGATTATTATTATTATATATATAAAAGTAAAAAAATGTGGGTTTGTGTGTGGTCGCGCGCTTGGCTCTCCAACGGTGGGGTTACGTCAAAAAAATAGCCAGGAACCACGCCGTAAACCCCGCGGTCAACAAGCGCTATTCCTTTTTCACATCCGTCAACTTTAAAATAGTTTAATTAGCGATTTAGTGCGATTTTTGTGAGCTTCACTATTATTTAGGTATTTATGACGCGTGCACGACCATAACAACTCACGCGCCTTTGCTGGGGGAACGGCCCATGCCAAGTCGCACGCCTTCGGTGCGAGTCAGGGGGACATTTACTTTTGCGTAAAAAATGCTATAAAAATGCAGCGTTAAAAATGCGAAAAATACACTAAACGCTTACGTACATTCTTCACTGTGTCATGCCCCCCCCCACCCCGATGCGTGCAGTTACTAATATATACAGTCGCTGGATGCTAGCACTCTAGGTAGTACACTTTTGATTTATTTATACCAACTCACGCACCTTTGGTGGGGGGCGGGGGCATTTTATTTTGCGTTAAAAATGCTACAAATGCTAAAAATACACTAAACGCTCAGGTACATTCTTCACTGTGTGATGTCTCCCCCACCCCGATGCGTGCAGTTATTACTACTTTACACTCGCTAGATGTAGCAGGTACCACCACAGTCGGTATGCACTGTTGTAATCATAGCAGGTACCACTACAGTCGCTATGCACTGCTGTAATCATAGCAAGTACAACAGCACGGGACTAGGCCTCACCACGCCATTCTGTCAGGTGAGTACTTTGTGCTATATAGTCGATAAATATTGCTATAGAGTCAGCATGTACTACTGTAGTGATAACAGGTACCACCACAGTCGCTATGCACTGCTGTAATCATAGCAGGTACCACCACAGTCAGTACGCACTGCTGTTAGATTTTTAAGAGAAGTTTTGAATTATTTTTAAGACCCGGGCAACGCCGGGTACTTCCCCCTAGTATTATATAAACCTTTCCTCATCCCGCTTGCGTCTGTGCTTCAATTCGTTTATTGGGAGTCATTTACATACACGCATCTACGATTAGCATGGTTGGCTACGTACGGTGCGAAAGAAGTTAAACATATATGCGGTAAGAAAACAATGTGTCTATTTCTTCAAGTAATTTGTATAACCCTTTTTGAATACTTCAAACATCATTCCTTGATTGTCATATTCCATTTTTTCTCTAAACATTTCGTGAATGAGTCTGCTCAGATTGTACCAGCAGTAGGACCAACCTCTGGTGATATCCACAGTTCTATTATTTGGTCCAATAACTCTTCCCCTTTAAATATCGAGGAGGGAACAGTTGACTTCAGGTGTAGCATCCGGTACATCCTCTTCATCTGCGATCTTGTCCGATTCCTGGGCTGATGCATTTTTTTCTATGGAGATCTGTCTGAAATTATATTACTAATTCGTAGTTCTGTCTTACTCCCTAACGATGACCATTTGTGTATTGCCAATCATCAACCTTTATTTTTGCTGCTTGCATGCATCCATTGCTTGCTTTGGCATTTTCAATCATATTCTTTGGGTCTTTCGGTAAAACCACGTAGATAGGTAAAAAAAAACTTACAACAAAAATAATAAAAACTACGACGTTTCGATCGCAACACAAGCGGTCGTCATCCATCTACGTGACTTACCGAAAGACCCAAAGAATATGACTTCCTGCAGTCATGAAAGCTTTAAGTCAAGATTTTAAAACATGTCTGTGCATTGTGTTCTCCAATTTAGTTTGATCATTCTCTCGTTATTATCCTTTTACAGGGCTGTGTGCTTTCAATCTTCAGGCTCACATCTTCGTCCATTTCAATGTCTCCTTTTCCTCAGTACGTCATTTGTAGATTACAGACAACTTGCTCCGTTTGTTTTATAACCTTGCTCCCTAACTTTTAATGTACTATCCATGAATATGTTAGTTTTTCCCCCACTATTTAAAGATGTGACATTCATTAAATCACTTTGATCTCCGAGGCATATGAATCTATTGATCGGTGCTAGCCTAAAATCAGCTTTTCTGCTGGCCTAGATTTTCCATGCTGTCTTGAAATCAGTTTTGCCCTCTCTTAGGCAGTGTTGAAATGGAACTTGCATCGCTCCAGTCTTGTGTCACTTCCTGTGTTCAATTTGGAGCAGTCACTCTTCCTGCACTCCACCATACAACCAACCAACCAGCACGTGACACAAATACAGGCGTGTCTCGCATAACGAGCGTTCTTTCCACGAGAATTCGCCACAACGAGCCATTTGAATTGAGAACACTTTTTGTTCGCAAAACGAGCAAATGTTCGCTTAACGAGAGCGGAGACCGATCGATCGAATATGGCCGATCTATCGGCAGGGGGGGGGGGCGCACCACGGCCGGCAGCTTTTTTGCTTACCAGCTGCACGAGCAATGTTACCACGGAACGTATATCTTGCTCGTTCAGCGAGACGACGCGCCTTTACAAGGTAAACGTGGCAACCCACTCGATAGTGGATTGGAGGAAGGGAGCTTTGCGGGGTTGAGTACAAGAGGTCGTTCCGGGCCAGGCGTTCCAGAAGTGACACTTTCAATTTCTTCGTGACTGCACAAATTTAAGCACAATTGTTGATGTAACCCCCCCCCCGCCACACACACAATATGCATACGTAAACATCATTCGAAACAGAAACATGGAGAGAGGCTCGTTTCCAATGGTATATTTTGACATGATCGTCTCGTAGTAGAATAATGCAGTAGTTTGTAGCACCATAAAAACACTTTTAGCATTTCACGTAAAAGTATTCTCACAAACACTTTAATGCGTCGGTAAACTTGCGATTAACACGATTAACATAATTAGCGCGTATGAAGCAGATGCAGTGACAGCAAGCCAAGCGTCTGATATCCCACCACCGTGTATATAGGACTACATCGCCACCGATATAGACAGACTGTTAGACACAAAGTTCACAAGGGGTAGTCATCTTACCGAGGGGAATGTCATTAAATTCATCAACAGCACTTTTCCTTACACATTTGCCAACATCCAAGGTAAACTGTCTGTAAAAGGTATCATCAATTGTCAAAGAATTACAATTATCCAGGCGACTGACCTGGATTATGAACAAAGTATAAACTGCATACAGATGATCCCTATTAAAAGTGGTAATAGTGATGTAGTTTCCACGTTGTGTCCTACTAAAGGAAAACTGAATAAGACATGATTTATGTTTCGGCTGTGGCGTTATCAGACACACCTGGTGTTCTTGCCAGGTATTGCAGATTTTTCCAAAGCATTTCACAATGTAGTTATATATATTTTTACATCTTTTTATACAGTCTCAACCTGCACATTTTTTCTTTAATTTTGTTTAACTGACCGGGAGAAGTTGCCGCGGAATGATATTACGAACGTAAATTGGGTGACAAACGAGAAGGGGAAATTCGGTCCACCTCGCTCATTCAGTTTCCAGTCGCAGATCGATTCTCGGCTTTGATCGAGGCCTTTCTTCCAAGAGTCCTAGTGACCAGCTTCCACACACACGTGTTGCGTGGGCAGCCGGTTCCAGACTCCCACCACTCTTTGCGTAAAAACACAATCGCCTCCTGGTCTCGGTCATGAAACTTTCCTCTGCTCAGCCTCCACCCGTGGCCTCTGGTTATATTCTCTCTGTCACCTTGTTGTAAAGGCCTACTATATATATAAAAAGAGGTTGCTCAGTAGCTGTATGTAGATTTCATGTCGAGGGTCATCGCATGTTGAACTTTATGTGATGCACATAGCTGGGCACGCAATTCATTGGCACTCCTTGCTGGCTGTAGGTGTCGCTTTAATTTGCCAAAAAGTAAATGTGGAATTACAGAATAGAGGTCACTGCAATAGCTTTTTTGCCAATCAAAATCTGCAGTGTGGCAATCATGTTTCTGTAGCCAGGTTACCGTAGTCTGATTTTTTAAAATATATAATAAAGGGAAGCATATGGCAACACTTAAAACACAGCATAACATACAAGTCTAAATACTTTCAATTTGGTTTAATAGCAATGATAAAGTTTCCAATTTTGTTTGGCTTTCATTAAATAATTGCGTTTTAGGGCGTAATTGTGAACTATGTATCCATTTTTCTTGGTTCTTTCGGTAAAGTCACATAGAAGGGAAATAATAAAATAATAAAAATAAAATATAAGATAAAATTCTCACTGACGTGACTTTACCGAAAGAACCAAGAATATGAATCCATGCAGTCACGAAAGCTTTAAATCGATATGTATCCATTGCTGCAGAGCTGCTCGTGAGTTTTCAGCTGTGAATAACTACTTCACTGCTCATTCTAACGAGGCATGAGTGGACTGTAAATTCGATCTAGACTTTTAAGACATTTTGCTCGGGGTTAAAAGGTGACCCATAGGAACCGGTCAATAAGAGAAACCGATTTTGTTTCCCATGCAGCCATCATTATCAGCAGCAGCATCCCGGAAAGCAGTTTCCACGCCGTAATGACAGCTTCTCACATTGCGGCTTCCTAAGATGCGTTGTTATTTGCATAATAACAGAAGGGAGTACGGTTGTGTAATGATGATTAGAATAGGACAGCTATGACATAACACAGATGCTATAAATGGCAGGAAAAATTGTAAGTAGTGTGCAGAACATTTTTCCTAATACCGAGGATGGGCAGTACAACTTTGTTGCGTTTTTTGTTGTTGATGCTCCTGTTGAAAATTCTACGAAGCTGTCTCTGTAGCTGCCATTATGAAATATATGCATCCGTTTTTGAAGGCATATTCTAGGCAATTAAGAGTCAATATTTTCGCCTGTACTCTGAGGCTCAATAGGCCTGGGAGCCTGCCACCTTTCCTGCCAACCTGCCATGCCCAGCACAAACAAAACCCTTGCGCAAAGGGCCCAGTTAAATGTGACCCAATTCAAGCCTGACAACTCGGACTGTGAAATGCTTAATATATTTTGTGGGATAAGAATTAAAATATGTAATATAACGTATACAGTGCACAGTACAGATGTCTATTACCCACCTGCTAAAGAGGCATCGGTTTAGGTAAAATTAAATGGACATCATTTTTTTGCACTGTGGAGGAATTTCCATGGACAATGTTATTAAAACTAGCAAAGTTAATAATTTGTGGATTTGAACGATGCCGATAACATTGCAAACCCAAATGCAACTACTCCATATTTCCCAATTGTCAGCGTAAATCAGAGGATTATGAAAATCAACGTTTTAACAGACAACATTATTGCATAAATGTTGCATTGGTTAATATCATATTAAGATTAACTCATGGGTTACACGGTGGGATGTATTTAGGCCAAATGCATGCATGCATGTTTTGGGTAGATTATATTTTCTGATTGCTGGACATTGGCCAAGCACACGTGCAGAGCTGTAAAGTTTTTTGAGTCCAATTCGAAGAGCGACCTCGTTGCAGAATAAATGTTCTCGGCTTTAAAAAAAATTGCCGTACAGTACTTTGTCCAAATCGTGTTGACTAAAACTCACTGCAAATCGTGCCTTTGTTTTCAGGTGTAATTAAGTTCCAGTGAAAATGTATTCAACCAAAATGACCAAGAGCGTTTTATCTTCTCTCGGTCAGTTTAAATAATAGATTAGTCCCAATGAATAGTTAATAACCCCAAGCGCAATTGTGAACGGATGACAAATTGCAACACTAAAGGGAAGGTGATAACTTCAATTTACGCGGGAATAAATCAAACCGCTCGATCGGCTTTGATTTTGATGACTTTAGGGACGTTGACTCGGCAAAACTGCACCGCATCTTCTGGCCAAACTAAATCCACAACACCGAACTGTTGTCCCGATATCACACGAGACATCAAGAGACGGCGACTCAGATGGCTAGGACATGTGTGCTCAAGAAATGACCAGGACCGTATACCAAAGATTGCCCCGAAGATGGCCACCGCCGGGTTAAAGAAAACCTGGGAGACCCCCTGGCGGCAAGACCTGTGAAGGACGAAGCTGGCAGCAGCCATCGACCTCTCTTGGGGCGTGGCCCAACATGTTGCCAAGGACAGGAAGAAGTGGAGGCCACTCATTGCGCCTTTTTCGTCCTATAGGGGACGAAGAGGATTAACTAACGAACTAACTTAGGGACGGTTGACACGGACAAATTTAACTCGCAAACGTTAAAGAAAACCTGCGTCAACCAGTTTGAATGTCCACCGCCTTGTGGACATACGATGAGTGGCCCTCTGGTAGAAGGCACGACACCCACAACAGAAGGGGTGGCTATTCAGTTAGGTACATCATATCAACAACGCATTTTACAATGATAAACTGTGTACATTTCAAATTGTGTTTGAAGTCAATTTGAATGATGTTAACTGGCGTAAGGGAGCAAACGCACACGAGAATTTAGCTCCCACTCACCACATATTTCCAATGTAAAATAATTGCTTCAGTGAATTTTTGTTGTTGTGACAATGATATGATGTGCACTGTGAATTAGTGATCCGAGGAGTAATGTAGATATATCTTCTGGTGGGAATTAAAGCCTTTGAACATTAATGGGTCACGTCCATTGCACTTAAGACAGGTCCATGGAGAAAAATAATACAGCCTCATCAAGGTCAGTCGTTGCTTTTATGTCAGGCCAGAACTCCCCATTGTCCCTGGTATACAAAACCAGGGCTTGCCACGTACAGCGGGCTCACACATCACGTTCAGCGCCACTTGAATACAGAATGCACTGTGGATTAAACAACCGTTTCAAGACGGGTTGCGAACAAGCTGGCGAACTGGAGAGGAAACCTCACGCAGGGTTGAGGGATTTTGGGGACAACAAAAACGGCCACCGTGAGCAGCCCAGTGCCATGGGGCCCAGGGAAGGTGGCACACGTCGGGGCCAACGTTGCACGCTCACTGGGAATCTCTCGCAAGAAAGAACCTTAAAGAAACGGACATTGACAGCCATGACGAACAATTGGCCCAGCTCAAAACGACAAGGACGTAAGTCTTGAGATAACAATGACAATGCAAGACCAGACCCACTCTCGGGGGGGGACGTGGACATGGGCAGGACGTTTCGCGGGAACCGGACAAATACGGTGACTGGACACACAAGTAGGATGGTCATGAAGGGGATAACCAAACAGGATGCGGAATTATGAAATCAGAGCACAGCACTGAAATACCTCCGTGAATATTTAAATAGGCTGATGTTATTCAGGCTGTGGATATCCACTTGCAATGTCACCACTGTCCAGCCAGGCAGCACTCCAATGGGGACAGCACCACTTTGTGGCAAGTCAACAGCGACTTCCCTGTGGATAGACTTGTCCCTGCCATTGGAACGTGGAATTTTAACCACTTGCCTGGAATCACCAATCAAAATTATCGCCGCCCAAAGCTTGAGCAGCGAGACACGCATCGACTAAGGACACCAGTGGCAAATGCAACATAGGCTTTTGATGGAGAGTACACTGCAGTAACTGGGGCGCCGTGGTAGCGAGATGTTAACTACTTCACCTGGTACGCAGGAGGTCGTTGGTTGGGATCCTGACACCTGCAATAGTTGAAGTTTGCATGTTTTTCCCCGACCCGTGATGGCGTGGCTTTTTCTCCGGGTCCTCTGTTTTTGTCCCTCCACATTTAGAAACATGCGCTTTAGAGTATTTGGCCGCAATACATTACCAGATGATAAGCCACTTTGCTGAGCTATCATTTGTGGCCAGGTCGCTTCTGAAAAGAGATACATTGCTCAGTGGGCCTTACCTGGTAAAATAAAAAAAATGTTTAGTAACAGGACAATACCAAAACGTGCCTCTCAAATTCTGTTTCCATTCTCAAGCGACCATTTGGCAGTCCTCATTTCCTCTAGCAGTTCACATCCAGTGGTGGGAATTCCACATTCCTAAGGCACGGACAAGTACACAAACAACAATGCATATTTACGCTCAAAGTGATTTTACAAGAATTAGCTGAGACTCTTAAGTTTCATTGTTGTCCTTTTTTATTGTGGCCAATTACTCTACTACATAATTGGCGACTCCGTCCCACCGCGCACATAAACTCCGCGACCAGCCTGGCGCGGATCGTTCTGTTGCCGTGTCGTGTCCAAGCGCAGCAGCGAGGACGAATGCGCAGAAGAAACAAAACTTTTAAACTTTGATTAGCGCATCGTGTAGAGCTCGTCGAGAGGAGCAGATTGCCGTGTCGTTCGCCTTCACTCGACATAAAATGACGTGGCAAGGCAGTTTATGCGAGAGCCGGGGGCTTATGGGACCGCCATAGGTTCATATGCTGAATATATATAAACCCGCAATGCAGGCTTTTTAACTCAGAGCTGTCCCCACGGTGTATTCGCACTCTCCCAACACAATCCTCTTGAGTTTGCGGCTTAGTGGGGCCAATTTAATCTGGGATATACCACTTACGCCATTACACGGGTGGGGAGGGGGGGTTTACCAAGCAGAACCTCTCCCCTCTTTCCTACAACACCACAGCATCCAACTTCCCCCCCCCAACGTCAGTCTAAGCTTTGGTTCCATCCATAGCCCTGGGGAGCCAGGAACGTTACGTGAGAAAAACTTCAGCTTTGAAAAACCACAGAATATAATGTCCACACACTGTGCATGGATATCGTGGGGCGAGCGGTAGCGTAGTTGGTTGCCGAATTGCCCCTAGAACTTGGCGACCCAGGTTCGATTCTTGTTCACCACCAACATCAATGACAGATATCTCAACCGGTCATTGGCCTCCGCTAAGTTGACTCATCCTTAAACGGTGCACTTCGGTGGCGATTATATTATTTCCCTCGCCTCGAATGCAAGAGGTCGTTTGGTTTTATCCCGACCTTGACGAAGACTCTTGTATGTTTGTAGTTTGCGTGATCTCTTTCCCCACTGGATTCTTCTTCGGGTCCTCTGGTTGTTGCCTTCCACATTCACAAACGCGCGCTGAAATTATTTTGGCTGCTGCTATACATTCCCCGGTGTGATGATATCAGCCACTGCAATGAGATATCACGCGTGGCCAGGTCGCCTCTGAAAAAGAGCTAATATCTTAGTGGGCTTTCACTGACAAAATAAAAGCTTCTTTACGAGTACCTGGTGCAGTGTGTCATTTACAAAGGTGGACTGGCGTGCTCCTGGCCACATCTCCCCCTGGTGTGCCGTGTTGACCTTCACAGGTTACAGCTGACACCTCTTTCCCCAACAGTCTGTTAAGACTTTCGGGGTGATCTTTGTATGTGCACGTGTAGGTATAAAGTAGTGGCTTAGTGGTTGCTGCTCTGTCCTACAACCCTGGCAAGATGGGTTAAATTCCTGGACATGCGCAATTTTAAATGGACTTGCGTTACGAGCCTGCTCTGGTAAACCGAGCGATGTTTTTGACTACCCGGTGCAGTGTTAAGCGTCGACAATGGGGAGACAAAATAGGTGCTCGCTAAAACATGGACTGCTGCAATTTAATGATAAAAAAAGGCGGATCGTCTGGTGTACGTGACTATAAACGTTGCTCCACGCTTGAACATCGGTGAGTTTACTCATCAATGCTGAAAATTATTTCGCAGGACAGGAGGCCAAGAAAGCGATTGGTGCAGTCCTTAGAATCGGAGATATAGGGAGACTCAATTCACCTACATCGGGATTCGCCAGTGAGCCAAGATTTTGATTGGCGTGGAACACTGGAATGCAATGAGGATTAGATTGAAAATAAACCATGAAACCCTTTGAAGGTGCGGCAACGTAGAGAATGGTACAAAAAAAACGATTCCGCTTTTGTGGGGGAAATATATTTGCGTATATAAAAATAAAATTCGTTGAAATTGGAACCAATTTATAGACCCCAGGTTGAGACACGAGGGACCAGTTGTATAAAACAGTTTTCTCTCTCCATCTGACCAGGTGGAACGGTTTGCGGACCACACCGGCACAGCCAGAAGGTCGAGGGGTTTTAATCCCAACGAGGGATTGCGTTTTGAGACAAATATCCCCACCTGTCAGCTCGGACAGACTGCTGGGGCAAAGTGCTGTTCGAGAGCTTCCATGAAGGCCGTCATGGCTCAAAAGGGGGTGAGAGAAGGTGACCAACACCACGCCCCAGACCGCCTTTGTCTCCCCCAGCACGTGTGCACACATTCCAACCCAGGTACTGTTTTAAGGCTGAGTCAACCTTGGGGAGAGACCCCAGGACCGTTTCAAATATTTTCACCACTATTAATTGACCATGAGCGGGAATCGAACTCGACTCGCCGGACTCGTAGCGTGGTGCGCTAAACCGGTTCGTGACCACTTCCCCCGGAGGGGTGAGCCAACTCGACACGCGACCCGGGGCCACTAAAATGACGACCAAATTGTCCGAACCATGACGCGAGTGTCTTATGGAAATACCGGCCCCCAGTACAGGCATGTTACGTTTTAACCGCTGGCTCTCAGCCACTCAGAGATGAGCTCTTCCCCCCCCTCCATGCTCGACTAGGCAAGTAGAAACTTTGATATTGACTGCTTTAAAGTGGTTGGCAGCAAAGAGTTGTGCTGAAAAATCCATTGCTGTATTTCAGTAATACGCTCCCACGACACTTACGCTCCCTGTCTTCCAACCCGCACTGACTAGCATGGTGGAAAGCGGTGCAACGTCGCGTATCCGACCCGCCGGGTATCCGAGGTTATGGGCAGACCTATTAAACGGTCGGAGGTGTGAACATCGATAGAAAAAGACGGCCACACCATCGCGCACAATCACTGCGCTGGGTCTGGGTGGTTAACTAGACAGGGTGGATTTACGACAGTTGGATACGCGACGTACGGTACGATCAAATAACCCCCGCAACCCGCACAGAACGGGGAGGCCCTCATCCAGCAGTGGATTGAGAAAAGGCTGTGCATGGAAAAGCTAAATGAACCATAAAAATCACTTCAGGTGTTTATTATTATTTTTGAAATGGCCAAAAGCCACAGAGACGTGAGGCTTGCAGACAACGGGCGGTCTGCAGACACCGGGCTGTGTAGACGATGGGTGGTCTGGAGGGTGGCGTTAGACTTCCGGGCAGCCGTGCACGTGCACCGCCCCCTGCACGGAGGCCGCCTTGGCGAAGTCGCGGGCCCCGCCGTTGAGCGCGAGGCCCCGCAGGCAGGCCGAGAGCCGGGGGATGTTGTCCGGCCAGGGGCCCAGCAGGCCAACTTGAGAGAGAACGCAGACGTGCGGACACGCGGACATGCACGGACACACACGGACACACACGGACACACACGGACACACACGGACGGGAGCGCGATGGTCAGATAGGGGAGGGCGGGAACTGGGAACGGCAAAAAGGTACACGCTGATGCCGGCACACAGCTTAGAATATAAAGCACGACGGACGTGGCACGGTAAACGTGGCAAATGGCACAAGGTCCAATGGCGGAGCCAGGATTTTCAGGTAGGGGGGGCAACCCCTCCAGCAATGAAAAACGATAGAGGAGTTGTTAGTAAGTAAGGACTTGTCCCTTGCTTTTTATTCGACGCGTGTGCGGCGATGGCGCAGCCGTCGATCGAGGGTTGAATTCGAACCGCGTCGTGTGAGCGGCATCGCGCTCGCTGAAGGTGAATGCCTTCAGGGAAGTCGTGGACTCTATACGCTTCTGCGCACAATTCTGAGTCACTTATAGCCGCTTTGCCGTTTCTTATTGCCAATTATGGACTCAGACTATTATCCTATCATCTCATAGAGTCCCTGGCACGTAATAATATGCCGATTTATTACTAATAAACCCCAATGATCCGATCGAAATTAGGGATTTAGATCGGATCATTGGGGGGGGAGGTACGTGCCACCCCCCCCCCCCCCCCCCCCCACTGCCTCTGCCAGTGACAAGGTCAGTGCCGGATTAAGCTAGTGCGGGGCCTGTAGCAAATTATGTTATAAAGGGGCCCTAAATAAAAAAAAACACATAAATATATAAACACACATTTTTAACTTGCACAGTAAAGTAATTGTACGACAAATCGCAAACCTTAAACACCTGCCCGTTCATAAAAGGTGAAGGCAGTCTAGTACTATAGTAATAGAGCAAGTGCAGAATCGCTGAACCGGAATTGATAGCTTGAAAGCATTTAGCGCTGGAGCCCTTGAAAGTGCGGGTCCCGTAGCATGTGTAGCTACTTTTGCTACTAGGATAATCCGGCACTGCACAAGGTACAGAACACGTGGCACAGAAACGCACGACGCAGAACACATGGAACGCGAGTTATGCGATGCAGATAACACAACACGTGTCACAGAATACACAGAACACACGGCACGAAGCGCACAGCACAACCAGCACTCATTGGGATACCGTACTCGGCACACGCAGAGCCTGCCGATGATACCCAATTCATGCATTGACATTTACCCATTTTTGATGATGCTTTGAAGAAAAATGTCCACCGAGTTTTAGCGGCGTTCCAGCTACAATTGACAACACGCTTCACGTGTGATGCGAGGCTGTGGTGGTGACGGTGGTGGTGGTGCGGTGGCGAGAAACTCACGGGGCAGCCCTCCGACGTGCAGCTCCTGCTGCACTTGCGTGAGCAGCCCGGACGCCGGGCCCTTGACGGTACTCACGTCCCCATCCACGTCCAAGTGAAGCACGCTCCTGGTCTTGATCACTACAAACACAAACAAACAAAAAGACAAAGGATCCCCCCGTGTAGCCTTAACAGACTGTCGGGGCAATTGTTGTTGGCGAGCACCTATGAAGGCCGGCACAGGCACACGAGGGGGTCGGTGGCCAGCACCACGCCCGGCCACCTTTGTCTGCCTCGTGGCGATGTTTACACATTGCATCAGGTACTCATTTGAGGCTGAGTCGATCTAGGGGAGGCCCGGGACCGGTTCAGATAATCCTCACTGGTGGTGGCCGTGAGCAGGGAATCGAACTCGGCTCACTGGGTTCGTAGCGCAGCGTAGCGCTAACCACTACACTACCGCTCTCCACCATCACTGCACATAAAGACTCCTCTTTCCTCTTGCACGAATGTAGAAGCGACGAGCGCTGTTAGCGAACTTGCAATAAGGCCACCGTGGCACACTGGGGCTGGTTGTCGCATTACATCCAACCACCTTTGTTTTCCTAGTGCAACAGGTACTCATTTTAGGCTGAGTCTACCTACGGCCGGCCCAAGGCAGGTTACAGTTATCGTGGCACCACAGAACCACTTCTCCTTAATCCACATCCCTTAGCCCACACTAGATGGCGCTCCCTCCCTATGCAACACGTGTTTTCAGTCTGATATGCTTTAGCTTACATAGATGGGCAATGTCAAATGGACGGGAGAAAATAGTAAGGTGGACATCACGAGCAGTTCTTGCGCAGTCATTGGTGACCAGATTGAGACGATCAACTCCGATTAGCACGGTTGGCTACGTACGGTGTGAAAGGAGTTAAACACGCATACGTACAACTCGCCACACTTGAGGACCTGGTTTAATCACAAGAGGCCGAAGCTTAAGACTCAAACTCGGGCCCTGAGCGGTAGTGGCTCATCACTCTGACGCAGCCATTATTAACCGGCGCAACTCCCCAACCAATCTCGCACTGCAATGGAGTCTTGATTACATTTTTTTTGATAAAATTTTTTTTTTATCTAAACCAGGGGTCCTCAAACTTTTTAAACAGGGGGCCAGTTCACTGTCCCTCAGACCGTTGGAGGGCCGGACTATAGTTAAAAAAACTATGAACAAATTCCTATGCACACTGCATATATCTTATTTTGAAGTGAAGAAACAAAACGGGAATAAATACAATATTTAAAATGAAGAACAAGTAAAGTTAAATCAACAAACTTGCCAGTATTTCAATGGGAACTATGGGCCTGCGTTTGGCTAATGAGATGGTCAATGTCCGGTTCCATATTTGTCACTGCTAGTCGTAACAAGTGATGCAAGTGTGCATCCATTAGTCTAGATCTGGTTGGAGATTTCAAATGTTTCATTCTGGAAAAAGTCTGTTCACAGACATAAATGCTGCCAAAGATGGTTGCCATTTTAAGTGCATGGTTCCTGAGATGAGGATATGTCTCAGAGGGGAGAGATGCATAGAAATTATGAAGGCTGCTTGACTTGAATGCGTCTTTCAGAGAGTCACAATTCTGCAGTTCAGCCAGTTCCATTTGGTAAATTGTATCCACATTTTCAATGTCAATAGAAAATGGGTTACGGAAAAGCTGTATGTCCTGTTCATGGAGATGAAGCTCTTTAAATCCAAATTGGAACTCCTTTTGCAATTTTTCCAGTGAATCCACACGTTTTGTTTGGGAATGCAACCAATGGTTTTTCCGCTAACAGATTTTGAGTTGTGGGAAGATGGCAGAAGTTTTCCTCCTTCACTTGTTTGATGAGGAGGCCTAATATTACTTCAAATGCTTTGACATGTGATTGCATATCACAGATGAGCTTCCCCTTTCCTTGAAGTTGCACATTGAAACTGTTGAGTAGCTCTGTTACATCTGTCAGAAAGGCAAGGTGCCATTTCCATTCTGCATCATTGAGCTCTGGTACTTCTTTGTTTTTTTAAAGCAGAAAAGCTGTAATCTGTGGAAGTAAGTCATAGAAACGTTTCAAAACTCTCCCTCGACTCAGCCAACGGACTTCTGTGTGATACAGAACATCTTCATAGTCAACATTTAGCTCAGACAGAAATTCCTGAAATTGTCTGTGGTTTAGTGCATGAGCTCTAATGAAGTTAACACAAGATACCACAAATTTCATAACCGAGTCCCACTTCAGTGATTTACTACACAGCGCTTGTTGGTGGATGAGGCAGTGTATGGCTATTGGATGAGAATGGTTATGTTTGTCCATCTCTTGGTTAATGCGAGCAATTACTCCTTTCTTAGACCCACCATACTAGGAGCACCATCAGTTGTCACACTGGCTAGTTTAGCCCAGTTCAGCTCCAAACCATTCACAGTTTGGCAAACCTTTTCATAGATATCCTCTCTTCTTGGTTCTTTCGGTAAAGTCACGTAGAAGGGAAGTAATAAAATAATAAAAATAAAACATAATAAAATAATTCTCACGACGTTTCGGCCACAACGCAAGCAGCCGTCCTCAGGTGAAAGCCAGGTCTGTCGGGGAGACAGCATCTGAATGAAACAGCACACGAGCTTGGAGCATATATAAGCTGGGTTGGAAACGGGGGAAAGAGCGCCTTGACAAATAATTTGCATATCAAGAGGAATTTAGCATATTTATGGGACATGCAGGAATGTTATTAGTACTACATATGCAGCACGGGCATATGTAGTACTAATCACATTCCTGCATTTCCCATAAATATGCTAAATTCCTCTTGATATTGAAATTATTTTGTCAAGGCGCTCTTTCCCCCGCTTCCAACCCAGCTTATATATGCTCCAAGCTCGTGTGCTCTTTCATTCAGACGCTGTCTCCCCAACAGACCTGGTTTTCACCTGAGGACGGCTGCTTGCGTTGTGGCCAAAACGTCGTGAGAATTATTTTATTACTTCCCTTCTATGTGACTTTACCGAAAGAACCAAGAAGATGAATCCCTGCAGTCACGAAAGCTTTAAATCGAAAGATATCCTCTCCTGTAGTTGTTCCTTTGATGCTTTGCAGTGCAGCAAGCTCTTCTGTGACTTCGAAATAGTCATTCGTCGCACGAATAAAAATTTGAAGTTGTGCAGAATCACGAACATCATTGCTTTCGTCGAGTGCCAAGGAAAAATAGAAAGTTTTTTTGTGGAGTTTTGCAAATGCTGATGCAAATTGTCTCCCATTTCTTCAATCCTCCGTGTAATTGTAGGTCCTGAAAGACTCACTGTACTAAATAAATCGGCCTTCTCTGGACACATCTCTTTGGCAACAGAAAGAAGGCATTCTTTAACAAATTCTCCCTCCACGAATGGTCTGCCAGTGCATGCTATTAGCTTGGCAACTTGAAACCTTGCTCGCAGTGATGAAATATTTAGCTGCTTCTGCTTCACAAAACTATTTCGCTGAGTTGTTAATGTATTTTTCAGTTTTAATATTTTATCTTTTCTCACTTCTCCGACCAAACAAGCAAATGTATCTTTATGTTGAGTTTTATAGTGTTGACGTAAATTGTATTCTTTGAACACAGACACTATATTCTGGCATATCAGACACACAGCTCTTTCCTTGTACTGCATGAAAAAATAATCATAAGTCCACTGTTCTTTGAATATCCTACACTCCGAGTCAATTTTTCTCTTTCTTGACATCATTGTTTCCTAGGGAGTCAAAATTGCTATTAGTAAAATACCAATATATACAGCGCTACAAAAACAATATACCAGCAATAACTTTGCCCACACAGAGACATACAGACTGCACTGCCCATCAATGCAGTCTGATTGGGGGAAACTCCGCCCCCTCTCCCTCTTCCACCAATGACCGTCCTTCTCATGCAGAAAAAAAGTAACAGACAGGCAGCGGCGGCAAAAACACCCGGCGGGCCGGATAAATGTCCTCGGCGGGCCGCATGTGGCCCGCGGGCCGTAGTTTGAGGACCCCTGATCTAAATGATCAGAATCTTTATTGAGATCGGAGGAATCCGATGAGCTATGAAGCTCTTTTTCAAAGATATCCAGGAGGGGCGGGTCGGAAAGTTAATTAAACTTAAACACGGCTGTTATTTTTACAATTCTAATCTCCTTTGGGTGGTAATTTCGAAGCTGCAATGCGTGTTCATCGTGGTGTCGTCAACACGGTCCTACAAAGCCATGGGGGGGGGGGGGGGGGGGGCGCTGTTCTCAAATGCTGACATTCCACATTCCTATGGAAGAGACAAATCCCTCCATAGTTCAACCGCTGCTAAGAATGCACAACGCTGCTAATAATGCACACCGCAATTGTAGAGCCCCTCTCTCGATCCATTCCCACACCGTGTGAGCCATGGGGGTTATTTGACCATACTTCACCATGCTGGTCAAGTGTGGGTTGGTAAATGGAGGGGGCTGTGGGAGGTGGCCTGGAACCGGTTCAGGTGTCACTCGCCACGGATAGTTGGCCGTGGCCCGGAATCAAACTAAGGTCGCCAAGTTCATAGTGCGGTGCGCTGACCACTACGTAACTGCTCCACGAACATTACAAGGTAAGAGATTTTGGAAAGGATGGCATGACACTACTGCTCGAAGCAGCCCGGGCCAGCTTCTATTCCAGTGAAATCGACTGCCTTGGTCGTGACTTTGGCCCGGCACAAAGAAGTCACTCAAGGGTTCAAGTGAAGGTGGACGCTGGAACCGGACATCAGAGGAGGAGCTGTCGCAGTGGACGGCGAGCGCGCCTCACCTGCGATGCGATGCCACTGGCCGTCGCACAGCGAGCGCGTGGGGGAGACCGTGGCGGAGAACTCCTCCACGCCATCGTTCGCCAGCACGGTCACCTGCAAGCGACACGCAAGCACAAAAGAGAAAGATCCCCCCATGTCGACTTAACAGACTGTAGGGGCAAGTGCTGTTAGCTAGCACCTATGAAGGCCGGCACAGTACACGAGGGGGTGAGTGGCCAGCACCAGGCCTGACCGCCTTTGTCTCCACAGTGGTCGTTGTCTATACACCGCACCAGGTATTCATTTGAGGCCGAGTCGACCTAGGGGAGGAGGCCCAGGACCGGTTGAGGTGATCGCCACTGGTTTTGGCCGTGAACAGGAATCGAACTCGGGTCACTGGGTTCGTAGCGCAGCGCGCTAATCGCTACAACCGCCGGTCTCCACGGCATCAAACTAGAGCCGGCCACGGCACGGGCTGGGATGGTGTGGCCGAAACCCACGTCCTGCCGCCTTCATCTCTCCAGTGGCCGCATTCACATATCGCTGCGTCGGCAATAGGAACCCAAGGTCAGGCTCGTGGTAACGCCTCACACTGAGAGGATAGTCCGTGGCCGAGACTCAAACCCAGGTTGTTGGGATCGTCGTGCAAGGTACCAACATCGCACATGCACAACCAAACTCTGCATTGTGTTCCCCCCGTAATGTTTCGTGGCAAACATACGTGCACATATGCACGATGAACCGCTTTTGCTCCGTACGTAGCCGCACGTGCTAATCGGAGGTGCCATCTCACGTCGGTATATATCATTCAACAACTCATCCGTTTTTCCAAGCGAAGTGGACTGCAGGGTCGAGTCATATGCGAGGTGTTTTGTCGCACGCCTACGATCTAAGCACTTGGAGGAGGGGGGGGGGGGGGGCAAAGGGTTTGGTGGCTCCAACAAAATTGTGAAACTCCCCAGCTCACTGGGCTGCAAGAGGAGCCAGGAGGTGGCAGTGAGTGAGTGAATTGTATCCCTTCGTATGCGTGGGTTTTGTCCAGCTACTCCAGTTTCTTCCAACATGAAGCCAAACTCGTAATGGATACTGGCCATACAACACAATGCTGGAGCCTCCCCTGAGGTTTATGTGGATAATTAAAAGGCGTATGTCACTGGTATACAACAGAGGTGGAGTGGTGGTGCAGTGGTTAGCGCGCCGCGCCTTTAACCGGGCGACCACGGCTAACACCGGTGGTGAGTGATACCTAAAACAGTCCTGGGCTTCACCACTTCACCAACCTACAATGACGAGGATGGTGAAGTATGGTTAAACAACCCCCACGACTAAAAAACTAAACTATCAACTATTTTGATTTCACCAGGTAAGGCCCACTGAGCTATGTAGCTCTTTTTCAGAAACGATCTGGCCCAAAATGATAGCTCAACGAAGCGGCTTATCACGTGGAAATGTATAGCAGCTAAAATACTCTAATAGCACGTTGATTAAAAATGTGGAGGGGAAAAATCGCAGCGACCACGGGGAGAGAGAGAGAGAACACGCAAACTCCAAATATACAACAGGCATCAGGGTCGGGATGGAACCCACGACCTCCTGTATACCAGGCGAGGTAGTTAACATCTCGCCACCGTGGCGCCCCCGCCATGGGAAGGTCTCCTTCGAGCAGCTGATTGGCAAAGGGCTACAACGCATGGCCCGGGACGGTGGGGCAAGGATCAATCGTGGGAATGTGACAGCGGCCGTTGCCGTACCGCGTCTCCGCTGGAGTCCGTGCGCCACGGCCGCTCACCTGGCCACCGTGAAGGTAGAGGGCGAGGTATCGCGTGGCGCCCGGGCGACCCAGGTGCAGCAGCTGCCCCGAGGGGTGGTGCGGCCGGACCTCCAGCGCCAGATCCAGCTTCGACGCCACCTCCACGGCCTCGTCTGCAGCGCCACAGGGGTCGGGAGAGTAAGTGTGTGTGTGGTGAACTTCTTTCGCACGCGTACGTAGCCAACCGTGCTAATCGGAGGTGCGTGGGAAAGATGACAAACTTAACACAAGAAGCAGTTCTAAAGAAATGAGTTTGTCAATCTAGATGATGATTTAAAAGTGCACAGCTCCAGTGGCTTCCTAATATCGGAAGGAGGAGCGTTCCAGACGGCCGCAGAAGTGCATCTGAACGTGCGCGATGCAGTGACCGTCTCCGTTCGGTGGGTGGCCAAAAAGTGCAGTGATACCAACAACTGTTGGGGCGAGCGCTGTTATTGAGCTTCTATAAACGCTGTCACAGCACACAACAAGGATGTGGCCAGAGCCACGCACGACCACCTTTGTATTTCCAGCGCTGATGTACGCACCGCACTGGGTGCTAGTTTAAGGTCGAGCCAACCTAGGGGAGGCCCCAAACCAGTTCTGTTATCCTATATCGCTCTCCTCTAACGCTAGACATGGCCAGGAATTCAACTTTCGATGCCGGCTTCGTAGCGCGGTGGCCACGGCCGTGAATTGATCTCGGGGACGCCAGGTTCACAGCGGCGTTTCATAATTTACCTTGTCAAGAAGTGAAACATCTAAAAAAAAATATTTGCAAGATAACGACACGGCTGCACGTCGCGACGCGGCGACGCGGCAGCACGACGACACCCGCGTGCGGCTCGCCGTGCTGCGTCGCGTCGTTGCGCGGTGTGTATGTACGTTGAACTTCTTTTGCACCGTACGGGGCAAGGATGGTTTTTCCCCTCCACATTTAGAAACGTGCATTTACACGGCTTATTCGATGTTTGCTTTAGGGCGACGGAGCGGGGGGGGGGGGGGGGGGCAATGCCGGCACGGCTCTCTCACCCAGCAGCACGTGGCCGCCTTCGTGCGAGAAGAACACGCCGGGCGTCGTGGGCGCGGAGGTGCAGGTCGTCACGGCGAAGCGGCGCGCTGGCTCCCCCAGGGGCGCTCCGTTGAGCCGGGCCCCGCGCACGCAGCCACGCAGCCCGGCCCTCCAGCGGCCCTGCCGTGGGGGGGGGGGGGCGGTGACGGCACACCCGGGGCGCGCGACGCCTCCCGTTAGAACGATGCTCCTCCTTCTCGTCCCGCGTGGCTACCGTCAGCGCCACGTAGCGGTGACCAGCGCTCGCTGGTGCACGACGCGGATCGAACGCCTTACAAAGACAGAACGCGTTAATGCACGACAGGAAACGAATGCATTACGAGAGCAAAACAGAGCTACAAACAACACCAAACACCGGCATTGACTTGGCCTCTAAGCGCTGAAGGGTCGTGTGAACATGTGATCTCTCTCTCTCTCTTTACATAACACAAAATAACTTTGTGCACCATTTCAGAGAACACAACAAAGATAAATAAGCAGACAATTCATCCTTCACGTATATGTGTTCCTCGATGTAAATTTTTTTTTGAAGGGATTTGTACACATCTCATCAGCCGCATCATGGCCTTCTGGAACTTAATATAATTCTAACGAGGAAGGGCGGGTGGAAAAGTGCTGCCCCTTATTCTTTGGACTAAAGGATCTCAGAACGAGCTCAGTGTCATCCGCTTCCGCGGGATATTCTCTGCTTGGCTTTGCGAGAGACACAAATAAGTCTGTCAACGAGTGTGAACGCTCGCGATCGCGCTCTCTCACGAGTCCGGTCCATCGGGAATGCGCGCTGCTCACACAGTGATAGCTCTGTGGAATAGCAACGCTGTTTTAAGTGTCGAGCAAAACCTGCTGAGACTCAAGCATGGATGCAGAACGTCTCCCACAGGTGACCGCCTCCAGCTCCCTTGGCAAGACTGTGCTGGCCGCATCGCCACACAAGGCTTGCGGGTGGGAACAGGAGCAGCAGCAGCAGGGACAGGAGCAGCAGCAGGAGCAGCAGCAGCAGGGATATGACGCGCTTGCTAGAACTTGTATGGGTCGGGATGAGTCACCGCGTACCCGCGTCTACCCTGTTCACGACTGAAACAAAGCGTCGCTCCTCAGTCTGCCTGTAGATCTCGTTCAGTGCACAACCCTTGCTATAACTCTCTGTAAATGTTCACGTGTTTTTTGTCATTTTAACGTGAATTTTCAGCAAGGTAAAGTGATGTTGAATCTTATTTTTATTTCAATTTATTTTAATAAATTTCTGCATTTATTTAAATTTATGTATGCATTTTAGTAATAAGTAGTGTCTAAATTCTATAATAAATCCCCATTAATGTATAATATGCCATATAAAATATAATTTCTTATACTCTGGAATGGATTATTTCCTTTCCCTTTATTTCTTATGGGAAAAATTCGTTTGGTATATTTTCGGTATAAGTCCTACCTTCTGGAACGAATTAACGACGTATACCGAGGTACCACTGTAATCCTATCGTTTGATGGGTCACCAATGTAACCCATCTCGTATCGGGAAACATTATCAGATAAGATTCACGTTTTGCAACTCTCAGGCGAGCCGCGGCATTTGACACAGCCCCGGAGCGTCGCTGGCACCGTCTCACGGAGCGATGCCGACGGCACAAATCGCAACACGACTCGGAATAAAACCCTCGAATCGGGCAAAACGCCCCGACACGGCGCGACGAACGTGGGCGGCTTTCTACCTGCAGGTGTTGCCGGCCCACGCCGCTGGCGACGCCGCCCAGGTAGAGCGGGGAGCGCAGGCCGAGCTCCGGGCCCCCGCGGCGTGCCGGGGCGGCCTTCGCCGCCGAGCCGTCCACGATCAGCTCCCCGCGAGCCTCGGGGCCCACCACCACCTCCACCTGCGCGACACGGAGCGGCGGAGCGGCGGGCAACGTCACGCCGGGGGGTTGCCACCTCTGGGGTGCAAACACAACTGGGGCGCATCTCGATGTCACATCTGAAGTGATGTCCAGATCACTATGAGCATCGAGGCCCACAGGGCTCCCCCACTACGCCGCTTGCTCTGTCTATACGGATAGAAGGGAGATTTATCGACCGTTGTAAGTAATGAGCTCCGATGTGTAACATCTGCAAATGACAACGGACTGCATTCGCCATCAGCAGCTGCTGGAACGTGGGCTGCGCCTCCCCGAGCAAATCGACGAGCACGGCCAAGGCCGCAGAAACTCATTGCGGGACCCATCACGGCCACGCACCGAGTGCCACTGGCCGTCGTTGACCTTCTTCGGGCTCTTCAGCTTGAGCCTGTGGCCCCGTTTCTGCTGCTGCTGCTGCTGACGGTTAGGTGGAGGTGCCCGTGGGCCAGGTGCACGTCCAGGTGCCGCCCGTCGTCGTCCCCGCCGCTGGACGCGTACACGAGCAGCCCGTTGCTGGCGTTGGTCTTCAGCTCCAGCGAGAGGTGCCTGGGCGCAGACAGGGCACGGACAGCGATGCTCACACACGAAGACTACACCGTTTTCATTTGACCAGGTGAGGCCTACTGAGCTATACAGCTCTTTTTCAAAAGTGACCCGCTTACACACACACACACACCCACGTAGATCTAAAACTCATTCCTTTAGAACCAGCTTCTTGTGGTTATAGTTTGTTGGCACCTCCCAAAAGCACGGTTGGCTACGTACGGTGCCAAACGAGTTCTACACACCTACGTACATTTCCACACTTGGTCCGCTGCGGTGGATCGCGCCGCGCGTGCGTTTCCTCCACGAGAGGCGGTCGTGCGTGGCTCGGCACCGTTGCCCCCCGTCCCCCCCGCCCCCCCTGCGTGTCCCGCCCGCAGCGTCGCGAGCGACTTACACTTTGGTGAGCGTGGGCGTGGGGAGCGCGAACTCGGCGCGGCTCTCCTTGGCGCCCCCAAAGAGCAGCCCCGCGTCATCGCCGTTGCCCCCGCCGGGGCCCCCCCGCGGCCCCGCACAGCCGCCCTCGCCGGGCCACGCCGGCACACCGTCCTGCACGGGCCTCAGGTGCCGCGCTGACGAACCCTGGGCACGCGGTCACCACCAGTCACGTGGTCAACACCGGTCACGTGGTCAATACTGGTCACATGGTCACCACCGGTCACATGGTCACCACCGGTCACATGGTCACCACCGGTCACATGGTCACTACCGGTCACATGGTCACCACCGGTCACGTGGTCACCACCAGTCACATGGTCACCACCGGTCACGTGGTCACCACCGGTCACATGGTCACCACCGGTCACATGGTCACCACCGGTCACATGGTCACCACTTGTCACATGGTCACCACCGGTCACATGGTCACCACTTGTCACATGGTCACCACCGGTCACATGGTCACCACTTGTCACATGGTCACCACCGGTCACATGGTCACCACCGGTCACATGGTCACCACCGGTCACGTGGTCACCACTTGTCACATGGTCACCACTTGTCACATGGTCACCACTTGTCACATGGTCACCACTTGTCACATGGTCACCACCGGTCACATGGTCACCACTTGTCACATGGTCACCACCGGTCACATGGTCACCACCGGTCACATGGTCACCACTTGTCACATGGTCACCACCGGTCACATGGTCACCACTTGTCACATGGTCACCACTTGTCACATGGTCACCACTTGTCACATGGTCACCACTTGTCACATGGTCACCACCGGTCACATGGTCACCACTTGTCACATGGTCACCACCGGTCACATGGTCACCACCGGTCACATGGTCAACACCGGTCACGTGGTCACCACTTGTCACATGGTCACCACCGGTCACATGGTCACCACCGGTCACATGGTCAACACCGGTCACATGGTCACCACCGGTCACATGGTCACCACTTGTCACATGGTCACCACCGGTCACATGGTCACCACCGGTCACATGGTCAACACCGGTCACATGGTCAACACCGGTCACATGGTCACCACCGGTCACATGGTCAACACCGGTCACATGGTCACCACCGGTCACATGGTCATCACCGGTCACATGATCACCACCGACCACACATTCTGTCTCTGTTTAGGCCCCTTCCTTCAGACACAGGGTTTGGTTTGTTTGAGACCCCCATGCTCAGAGACCCATAGACTCACAAAGAGATCTTTGAATGACCGCTTCAAGAAAATGAACAACGGCGCTATATCTGATAATTGGTTCTTTACCGTTCTATCTGGCAACAAAACTGACACCTTTTTGCAAGGAGTCATGTTTGCATAGACCGCAATACCTGCAGTCATAATACAAACAAAAGAACATAACTCTGATAATGTGCACTGTCCTTGACGCCAAAAGGCACACTGTGCGCCTTTTGGCGTCATCTGGTCCAACCCATATGAGACTAGGCTCGAAGGAAAGCTGTCTCGGGTGTGGACCAATCAACTTCAAGGACAGTGCACATTATCAGAGTTATGTTCTTTTGTTTGTATTATGACTGCAGGTATTGCGGTCTATGCAAACATGACTCCTTGCAAAAAGGTGTCAGTTTTGTTGCCAGATAGAAGGGTAAAGAACCAATTATCATATTTTTACTGGCAAATGAGGTCCCCATAGTGTAGATGCTTGCCCCGAGCTCTCATACTCTGATGGTGCATTGTCCTTGAGTTGTGCGCCTTTTGGCGTCATCTGGTCCAACCCATATGAGACTAGGCTCGAAGGAAAGCTGTCTCGGGTGTGGACCAATCAACTTCAAGGACAGTGCACATTATCAGAGTTATGTTCTTTTGTTTGTATTATGACTGCAGGTATTGCGGTCTATGCAAACATGACTCCTTGCAAAAAGGTGTCAGTTTTGTTGCCAGATAGAAGGGTAAAGAACCAATTATCATATTTTTACTGGCAAATGAGGTCCCCATAGTGTAGATGCTTGCCCCGAGCTCTCATACTCTGATGGTGCATTGTCCTTGAGTTGTGCGCCTTTTGGCGTCATCTGGTCCAACCCATATGAGACTAGGCTCGAAGGAAAGCTGTCTCGGGTGTGGACCAATCAACTTCAAGGACAGTGCACATTATCAGAGTTATGTTCTTTTGTTTGTATTATGACTGCAGGTATTGCGGTCTATGCAAACATGACTCCTTGCAAAAAGGTGTCAGTTTTGTTGCCAGATAGAAGGGTAAAGAACCAATTATCATATTTTTACTGGCAAATGAGGTACCCCATAGTGGTGCTATATCTGTTGCGCATCCTGAGATGCAGTCCGATGCATTCGCGATATGAATCAAGATTTGTATTCTATTGCCGTACTAAATTACCAGCATAAGTCTAACCCAAGTGTGAATCTACTCAAGTGAGCAATGGTGGAGGTGGATAATATCTGTGGATGGATCCGAAACAGTTGTGGAAATTCCAGACTTTTATAGCGAGGGCCCATCTCTGATGATGGCAACGGCGACGATGTTGTTTAAGACGAAGATGATATTGACGACAATGATATTGATGATGATGTTGGCGACAATGACTATGTACGACGCGCGAGTGCGATAGCCACTTGTCCCCGCGGTGCTGCCCGTACGCGGAGTCTGGGCGCGCGCTGTCGCTGGGCGCTGCTTCGGGACGACGCGGCCAGAGTGAGCGCCGCGGGCGGCCGCTGCTCGTCGGGGCAGCTCTCCAGCGACACCTGCACCTTGGTCAGCAGCTGCAGGTCCTGTACCACCACGTCCCGGCCGGGCCTGGGAGCGCACGCGTGGCGGGAGGGAGGAGGTTGGGGGGAGGGGGTCACAGCACGCGCATTCACAACATACCAAGCGGCTGTTAAGGAAGTAAACATGACGTGGGTATTACACCGTTGCACTGCAGCACGACATCATCATTACACTGCATTACGTCATTCGTCTCAGAACATGGATGCTGATCTCAGACGAGGGTCTGCAGTCGTTGCACTTTGAATATAGAACAGCGGCGTGGATGGGAATCGAACGCAACTCGGTCGGCTAACCGCTGCACCGCCACTCCCACAACAAACACAAGGCAGATCCTCCACAAATTGTGGAGGCGAGGGCTGTTAGCGAGCACCTATTAAAGCCGCTTTTGACTCCCTGGTGGCTGTGTTTAAACATCACACCAACTACGCATTTGAGGCTTAGTCGACCTAGGGGAGGCCCAGGATAGGTTCAGATCATCGTCACTGGTGTTGGTGGCTGTGAGCGGGACTCGAATTCGGGTTGCCAGGGTAGTGCAGCGCACTAACCGCTCCACTACTGCTCCAAAGACAAAGATCCCCTGTATAGCCATAACAGACTTTTTGGAGCAATTTCTGTTAGCAAACAACTATGAAGGCCGGAACGGCACACGAGGGGGTGAGTGGCCAGCGCCGCGCCCGACCGCCTTTGTCTCCCCAGTGGCGATGTTTACACATCGCACCAGGTACTCATTTGAGGCCGAGTAATCCTAGGGGAGGCCCAGGTCCAGGTTCAAAGTCACCGGTATTGGCCGTGAGCGGAAATCAAACTTGGGTCCCTGGGTTCGTAGCGCAGCGTAGCGCCAACCACTGCACCAACGGCTCCCCACTCACACGCACGCATCCACGACGACTACACGCGCGCAACGGGGCCGTCGAAGGGTGACCCCCTCCCCCGCACACCGGCGTATGAAGACGTCGCTGATGCAGCCGGAGAAGTTGTCGAAGCCGAGCGGGGGCGGCGCGTCGGGGACCCCGCCCACGAAGAGGCGTCCGGGCTGAGCCTCCCGGCCGGCGGGGCGCAGGGAGGGCGCCGCGCTGTCGCTCGCGTCCACGTCGTCCAGCACCAGGCGCAGGCTGCACGCGGAGAGACGAGAGCGACGGTCGCACCTCCACCGACCACACACCCCCCCCCCCCGCACCTGACACCGTGCAGCCCGCAACCGGGGACCGCTGACGACGCTCGTGAAGGCGAAACGGGCAAATCTCTGTGGCTTGGAACGGAGACTGCTGGAGCAAGCGCTGCTTCGTTTGATTGTTTTTTTTGGAACAAAACAACAAGAGCCCAAAGCACAGACCCCGTGGTCATCGTGGGGGAGGGGGGTCACCGCCTCACACACGCGCGGGGACTATGAGTGGGAGCGTCGCCTGTTATACAGGCGGGTGAGAGGGGGGGGGGTAATACGACATAAGGGGCGAGAGTGGAGGGAGCCGATACGCGCTGCCTGATGTAGCTGCCCTCCTCAGAAGTCCCGTGGGGCGGCAACTGAAAAGCATCGATCCCCAGATGGAGCAAGCGCTGCTGGCGAGCGTTGATAGAGGCTGCGACGAAGGGGCCGTGTGGAGCGCCGTGGTCAGCGCCACGCCGCTCCGCTTTTGTATCCCCCAAGTGTCGGTGTTTTGCATATCGCACCGGGTACTTATTTAAGGCCGAGTAAACCTAAGGGAGGCACGAGGGCCGGTTAAGATGTTCGCCACCGGCGTTGGCTGTGAGCAGGAATCAAAACTCGGGTCTCCAAGTTCATAGTGCGGTGCGCAAACCTGCTACGGAACCGCCCCACACGCAGGCACAGACACTCGCACGCACAAACGCACACGCGCAGAAAGAACGACGAAGCCGCACGAACACACGCAGCACACACGCGCTCGGGGGGTGGGGGGCACGCGCATCGAGCTCGTCTCTTCTAACAAGCCAGAGCCTGCGGTGGCAATACGGAAATTCCACGTTCCTACGGTCGAGACGGCACCTGGAGGAGTTGCGCAGAGCGAAGAGGTAGTGGTTGGAGCCGTCGTTGTATCCGGCGCTCATGGTCCGCAGGGTGTCCTCCTTCGTCTTCAGGACCACCGCCCCCTCTTTAAGGGAGACGGACAGAATTTCACCCTGCACACACACAGACACACACAGACACACACAGACACACACACACACACAGACGAAGATCCCCCGTGTGGCCTTAACAGACTGTTCGGGAAAGTGCTGTTAGCGAGCACCTGTGAAGGTCGGCATGGCACACGTAGGGGTGGGTCACCAAGATGCACCACTCCCACACAGTCAACTCTCGATTAGCCTGGGTAACAGTCTGTTAAAGGCTGTATGGGGGAACGTTTGCCTTTTTTTATTTTTGTTTGCAGTGACCAAGAAGGGGAACGTGCTTCACTTGGACGTGGATGGGGAATGTGAGCAACGTCAAGGGCCCGGTGCCCGGGCTGCTCGCACACAAACACAGCAGGAGCTGCACGTTGGAGGGCTGCCCCGTGAGTCTCTCCCCACCGCACCACCACAACCACCGCCACCGCGCGTCACACGTGACACGAGTCACCGACCGTTGATACTGGGGTGGGCAGTGTGGCCGGCTTCAGGCCGGGCCGCTACCTGCAAGGAGTAGTAGAAGAGCAGGCCGCTGGGCTGCATGGTGCGGAACGTGAGCCCCGTCTCCAGCACGGGGTAGGGCTCCTTGACGGCCAGCGACATGAACCCGTCGCCCGCCAGGTAGGCCTTGCGCGACACCTGCACGCCGAAGTCAGAGGTGGTGCGAGCGCTTGAGAGGCCGCGGGGGGCCAGCGGCGAGACCTCGGGGAGCGCAGTTGCAAGTTGAGCGTCTGGGTTGCAAGCGAGGGATGCGTGACGCACGCATCGTGAAGGTTTTTGGGTTGGATCTGGCTAATCGCCCTGACGACGCTGGTTGTTGTAATCGCCAGGGAAAACGTCACAGTACTCGAATTGTAAACGTTGCGGGTTTACTCTCAAAACAACAAAAACAAGTCTGTTGAAGTAGTCACTAATTGGCATGTTTTGTTCACGTGACAAACCTTACTAATTGGCCGTGTCGGGTAGTGGTGGGGGTTAATGACAGATTTATATTCACGCGATCTAACCCCAAAAAACTTTTATTATGATTAATATTGATCGCGAAGGCCTTCTACGCGTTAGATTGCATAACACTCGTTTCTAAAAATCGTGTGACGTTACCTTTGTAACGAGACATTTCTTTCTCGGCGGGCTTGCGAGCCTGTGAGCCCTACGCACATTTTAGCGGATGCAAAACGTGATTCACATCTCGTTGGGCGGCTACAAACCAACAAGTTGGGAGACTTCCAGTGACGTTCACCCGGGTTCAGTTACGCAAACACATTTGATCCTTCGAAAAAGTAAACGAATTTTTTTTAACCAGGTAAGGCTCACTGAGCTATATAGACCTTTTTCAGAAGCGACCTGGCCACAAATGACAGCTCAACAAAGTGGCTTATCACGTGGACATCGTTGATAGCACCAAATACTTTAAACGCACGTCGATTGTAAACGTGGGAGGGAAAAAAAACGAAGGACCCGGAGAACGAAGGGCAAGGTGCGGTGCGCGTACCAGCACGTCGTCCGAGCAGCCGGCGCTCACTCCGATCATCTGTTCCTTCTGCAGGTCCAGGTTGGTGTCCTGCACCTTGAGGCTCAGGAGGCAGCCCTTGAGCCCCGTCTCCGTCGTCACGTGGGTACGGCTCCTGCGAGACGCGACGACGCCAACAACCCCTCGGGGGTCAAACCGCACCTCCACGCCCACCGTCCCGGCTCGCGATCGTCAACCGTCGCGACTCGTTCATCGCTTCACCGCAAGGTGCGCAACAACATCGGCTTTACAATAGCCGCACGGCGTCACAGCCGCAAATCTGTGCCATCGATCACCGATTCCGACATACTTCCAGGACAAGTCGTAGGTAGTCTCAGGAGCACTATCGGCGATTTAAACGTTGGCTACTGCGCCCCTTTCACTAAGAATGCATCGACTGCAACCTCACAGATTCACCACCAGCCACCGGGCAGACACCGTGAGTGCACTATCATAGAGGCCCATTGCTGGTAACAGACCACGAGTGCCACACACCCCTTCCTCCTAGCTCTCTGTAAAATAAGAAAAATATTTTTTTTTTATTTTACCAGGTGAGACCCACCGAGCTATGTAGCTCTTTTTTCAGAAGCGACCTGGCTATCACAAATGTTCGCTCAACGAAGTGGCTTATCACGTGGAAATTTATCGCAGCCAAAGACTCTAAACGCACGTTTCTAAATGTGGAGGGAAATGCCGGAGGACCCTGCGAAAAAACTCCACGCGATCACGGGAAGAACATGCAGTCTCCAAATATACAGCAGTCGTCGCGGGGTCAGGATCAAACCCACGACCTCCTGTGTACCAGGCGAAGGCGGTAACATTCTCGCCAACGTGACGCTAACCTGCGATCGCACCTGCAGAGAGCTGCAACTCTACAGGCCGAGTGGGAGAGGCATGGCAGTCGGCGGCTGCGATGACGACGAAGGAGCAAGTCGCGTCGTCATCACGCTAAAAAAACGAGCGTCGGGTGAGGCTCATCTCCACCGGCTAGACCTGAACCAGCGGGGGAAATTCCACATTCCTATGCCAGGGGACAGTTTCTCCATAAGGACGTCCACTGCTGACCTCACACCAAAGAAAACTTAAGTTATTAACCGCAGAGGAAGGATGGTAAAGAGATGGGTTGAGTCGATTGCTCGAATCTCAGCACTCTGATTACACAGAGGGGTCGTGAGGAATTCAGCCAGGAGGAGGAGGCTGTGCGCATTGTCGTGAGGTGTGCTACTGCTGCTGCTACCACTGCAGCTGCTGCTGCTGCTACTACTGCTGCTGTTCCCATTGCTGCTGCTACAGCTTCTACCACTGCTGGCGCTGCTCCTGCTGCCGCCGCTACCGCTGTGCCTGCTGCTACTACCGCTCCTGCTGCTACGCCGCTGCAGCGACACCTGCTGCCCCTGCTGCTGCGCCTGCTGCTGCCCATGCAGCTCCTGCTGTTGCCACTACTGCTGTTTCAGCTGAGCCTGCTGCTCCTGCAGCTGCCGTTGACTGCTGCCACTTCTACTGCTGCTGCTCACGCCGCTGCGTCTGCTGACCGCTCGCTGATGGCTCCAGGTGAGACTCCGCCGATGAACATGCGCTTGAAGACCATGGTGCCGGGCTGCGTGGCGCCCTGCGCGATGGTGATGCGGTCCAGACGCAGGTACATGCGGCCCGCCTGCCGGTGAATGATCTGGATCTGTTCGGAGACGAAGACAAAGATTTCACCCCCCGCCAGCCGTGTGGCCTTTCACAGAGTTTCTGGGGCAGGTGCCGTTATCGAGCATCCGCCTGAGGCCCGCCGCGGCACGCGAGGGGTTAATGTGGCCAACACCGCACCCTCCACATTTTTCTACCCGGTCGCTATTTCCCCTTTGTTGGCGGAGCCAATCAAGGGGAGGCCCAGGACTGGTTGAGCTATCGGCCACTGATGTTACCGGCGGCCGGTAATTATCAAACTCGTGTCACTGGTTATAAAGCGCAGTGCTCTAACCACTGTGCCACCTGGCTCTATGCAACAACAACAACAGCCGCTATTTGCCGAAAAGTGGCGGTGACATCACCACAGTGCTTGTGCCAGGCGAGGTGCACTTTGGCTCGACACCAACAAAAATATCCCGTACAGCCTTAAACAAACTGTGGTTAAGGCTGGCACAGCACACGAAGGGCTGGGTAGCCAGCACCGCTCCATTGCCTCCCCAGCGGCAATATTTTACACAGCGCACCAGGTACTCATTTCAGTTTAAGTTTTAAGTTTAATTTATTTGCTATAGCCCTGTGAGCCATTCAGCTCTTGAATCGGGTGCAACCGCAACAAACAAAAACATGAACAAGAAAACATCTTAAAGTGACTATGCGCAAACAGAAAAATCCAGGCCTATCCGGCCTAGAGGACCATGACCGGTTCAGATAATCGTCACCGTTGTTGGCCGTGAGTGGGAATCGAACTAGGGGTCCGCCGGGTTCGTAGTGCAGCGGCGCCAACCGCACACACCGGCTCAGCGCAGCACGATAGACTGCCGCGTCGCAGCGGCAAAGGGGACGCCTTCAATTCGGGTCATCAAGAAACCACGGAGAGCGGCAGTGCTCATTTCCCCGTCGGTTTGTGCCTAGCTCAACAGAAAACGAATTCCACATTCCCATGGCCACCGGGGGGGGGGGGGGGCAATTTATCCACAAGACAAACGCGGTCCCACGGAGTGGCGGTGCTTAATTGATCGTCCACGGAGAGATGACGATGAGCCGGCTCAGCCACCGCGCGGGATTTGAACTCTCAACCGGCGGACGCTGCTGCATTGTCGTGCGCTGACGCTGTGGGGCGACGTGGCCGAGTGGCCGCGGCGGATCGAGCGTGGCGGAAGGGCTGCGAGTTCTGACCTTGGGAGGGGGGTTTTGACTCGGGCCACGATCAGAATATTTGTTTATACTTGGAGGAATCCGATGAGCTGTAAAGCTCTTTTTCACACATGCACAAAGTCCGAGTGCTGTTGTAAACATGTTGTGTGTTTCGTTCAAAATTACGGCTTTCCAGACTCCCCTGCCTTCACGTCACGATGGGTTTTCTCGTCATGGTTATAGATTTTGCACAGATGTGCACGAGTTACTCTGGGGGGGTGTCTATGAGACGAGTAGCACGTTGTGAGTAAGTCAACAGCGCTTGTCCTATGGATAGACTCAGCCCCGACATAGCAACGTGGAATATCCACCACGAGCTCACAGCCGTAAATGAGTGGCCAGCGACGGGCATGCAGCAAGGAAGGGGGGGGTGTGGGGGCCGGAGCGTGCGATCGCACACCGTGTGCGGCTGCCCGTCGTTGACCGGCTTCTTCTCCGTGAGCGTGGGAATGCTGACGCCCTGGGTGTAGCCGAAGTCGTACGCCAGCCTCAGCAGCCCGTCCTGGATCTCCAGACTCAGGAACTTGTCCTGTGCACACGCGTTCGCGCGACAACGCCGACGATGACGACGATGCGCTGTAGGAGAACAGGGGCTGTGTGCGGTGTGGTGGCGGCTGTGGCATCGAAACGCCGAAAACCAGGGCTCCATTGTTATAAGCACGCACGTATGTTGAACTTCTTTCGCACCGCACGTAGCCATTCCGCGCTATTCAGAGGTGCGTGTGGTGGCCTGCGTGGCCAGAATGCGGCCCGCAAGCCACAGCTCTCTGGATGAAAGAGAGAGATCGGAAAGCCGTAGACACGAGCGACGCAGATACTCCCGACGAGAGATGGGCAAGGGATAGTGAGCGACGCCGGAGAGAGAGAGGTCCACAATTGTGGCCACCTGCTCGGACGTCGTGCCGTCTGGGGCACGCGGGACACGACGTCGTGTGGCCCCGCAGGGAAAAACACTCCCACGCCTCGACCCTCGTTCAGGACATCAGGCCTGGCAGACGTCCACCAGGTGATGGACGTATGTTGAACTTTCGTCGCACCGTACGTAGCAATCCGCGCTTATCGGAGGTGTGGGTTGGAAAGGACAACAAACTAAACTCAAGAAGCAGTTCTGAAGAAATGAGTTAACGAGGGTGGTGGGTGTTCACGTCCAACGGTGATGATGTCCTTCCCCACCCCCCCCCCGCGCCTCAGATTATCACGGTTTCCTACGTACGGTGCCAAAGAAGCTCAACACACACACACTTACATACAGACACATGGACACACTTACATACAGACACACGGACTCACTTACATACAGACACACTTACATACGGACACACTTACATACAGACACACGGACACACTTACATACAGACACACTTACATACAGACACACTTACATACAGACACACTTACATATGGACACACTTACATACAGACACACTTACATACAGACACACTTACATATGGACACACTTACATACAGACACACTTACATACAGACACACTTACATACAGACACACTTACATACAGACACACGGACACGCGGATACACTTACATACACACTTACATACGGACACACATACATACAGACACACATACATACGGACACACTTACATACGACCACACTTACATACGGACACACTTACATACGGACACACTTACATACGGACACACTTACATACGGACACACTTACATACGGACACACTTACATACGGACACACCTACATACGGACACACCTACATACGGACACACCTACATACGGACACACTTACAAACGGACACACTTACATACGGACGCACTTACATACGGACACACTTACATACACACTTACATACGGACACACATACATACAGACACACATACATACGGACACACCTACATACGGACACACTTACATACGGACACACTTACATACGGACACACTTACATACGGACACACTTACATACAGACACATGGACACGCGGACGCACGGCAGCTGAGAAGCACCGCGTCACCCACCCCGTCGGCCATGTAGAGCACGAGGGCGTTGTCGGCCGACGTGCGGATCTCCATGTCGAACTTGGCGAGCGTGGGCTTGATCTTCTTGTCCCGGTCCACGTCCTCCACGCTGATGAAGCCCGAGCCGTCGAAGTAGAAGGTGTTGCTGTTCCTCTCCAAGAAGCCCTTGCCTCTGCGTGGACACCGCGTTCACAAGTTTCCCGGGTGAGATTGACTCTCACCTTCGGTAAAACGTCACAACGCATTGTGGGCGCTTTCCTGCCTAGGCTGATTAGCCGTCCGCGCATTACCTCTGTCCGTCCGTCCCTTCCGTCTGCTCGTGATGCAATGGCCGGACAGGTAACGTGCTAGCTCTCTTAAAGATTATTCGTAATGAATGAGTGTCGCTATCACACCCAATAGAAAGCCAGCGACGTTGATCGAAAGGTCACCCTCAACCCCCCCCCCCCCCCCCTTGCCAACATTTGGAAATGTCCCGCTTTGGAATCCCAGCCTCGCTGGCCAAGGCGTTTGAGATGCTGGCCCATTTTAAATATATAAATATTTAAATCCTCGCTCTTCGTCACGTACGGGACGGGCAAATTGTGTGTGGGCGTTGCGGCGCGGCGCGTCCGTACACTCACCGCCCGCACGGGTAGGAGAGCGTGGTGCTCATGTTGATGAGCCGCTCAAAGTTGTAGAGGCTCACTGCGTTGTCGTTGATGGTGGCAAGCTCGATGCAGCCGATGAAGTTGGGGTAGCGCAGGCTCAGGGGCAGCTGAGCCGACATGGGGGGGGGGGGGGGGGGGGGAGAGTTAATGGGAGAGTTAAGTGGGAGAATAAAGGGGAGAGTAAAGGGTGAGAGTTAAAGAGGAGTACAATGGGGAGAGTGAAGGGGCGAGGAAAGTCGATGACAACTGTTGCCAGTGACACGGGCACGGCGCGCAAAGCCCAAATCCTCGCGTAGATGATGTGCGATGTTTTTGGTGAATAACACGGACTGGGTGTTTAATGTACGCGAATGTCGTAAGGAGCGCGTACGTACGGAGTGTGTATATATGGAGCGTGTACGTACGGAGCGTGTACATACCAAGCGTGTATGTACTGATTGTGTATGTACGGAGCGTGTACGTACAGAGCGTGTACGTACAGCTCCTCTCGTCAATCCGCTGCTGGGCGAGTGCCTCCCCAGGCCCTGGGAGCCGTGCGTGGATCAGGAGTGCGATTAAATAATTAAAACTCACCACCTCCATCAGTGACACTGCGTGGCCATGAAAGGAAACAAATGTAGGCGACACTTCGGACAGCGGCCCTTGTCCGTTGCACGTAATGGTTCAAGCGCACGCGCAAGTGCGTGCGTGAACTGGCAGCGGAGCGGTTATCGCTGCGTTACGAATCCCGGAGACCCGAGTTTGATCCCCAGTCGCGGTCAACACCGGTGGCGAACATCCAAACTGGTCCTGAGGCCTCCCCCCGAGGCCGATTCATCGACGTGCCACGAGGCATTGGCCAAGACGACCCCGATAAGATAACAAGAATTACTCCTTTCAAGGACACACAGTCGTGGCGGGGAGGGGGGGGCGTCAGTGGGGTTTGTGAAAAGGCAAAACTTTTTTTCAAATGTCCTTTTCGGGAAGGGCAGATTGCGTGTCCGCAATAACCGTATAGCCTTAACAGATTGTTGGGGCAAGTGCTGTTAGCGAGGCCGGAACGGCACACGAGGGGGTGGGTGGTACACACCGCACTAGAACCTTATTTATTTGAGGCCGAGTCGACCAAGCGATCAGGGGACACCCTCCACGTCACAAACCCCGCAGCCAAATTCCTCAGCGCCAAGTGCACCCGAATCCAATCACGCTCGAGCAACCGCAGCGTTGTGCGTGTGACGTCATGCGCGTGACATTGTGCGCGTGACGTCGTGCCTGTGGCGTCGTGCGTGTGACGTCGTGCGTGTGGCGTTGTGCGCGTGACACGCGCGGGCGGGGGGGGTGAACCTGGAATCCGGGGGGGACGCCCCCGACGTAGAAGACGGTGTCCTCGGGGTCGAGGTGCAGCAGGGAGAAGTCGCCGGACAGCGAGCCGGTGGCCGTGCTCGTGTACTGCTTCTCCGTCACGCGCAGCTTCCCGTGCTGCTTGATGCTGCGCAGAGACAACGACGAGTTTAATGGACTGTTAAGGCCTACAAGGGGGGGGGGACTGTGTTTGGGAATGCGTAGTAGTCCGCGTGTCGTACCGCTCGATGCGGACTTGCGTGAAGTCCTCCCCACTTATCCGTTTGTCCTCCACCTGCAGCTCGGCGTCCTCCCCGCCCAGGTTGTACACGTACGCGATGTTGCCGTTCTTCACCGTGACGCCCAGGTAGTTCTTGTCGGCCTGCGCGGGGAAGCGAGCAGAGTCAACGCCCGGTTTTCAGAGCCACGCACCGCCGCCTATACTGCGTATGGGGCGCTGCCATGGCGAGGTGTTAACTGCCTCGCCCGGTATGCAGGAGGTCGTGGGTTCAATCCCGACCCTGACGTCTGTATATATTTGGGGTTTGCGTGTTCTAAGTAGAAAAATACTTTTTTTCCCACCACCAAAACTATTTTCGGACTGTCCGCAGTTAGCCGAGCGACCGAGCCGATAATTATCGGTCGAGTGATCCATCGCCGAAGCAACGGGATGTGGCGGCTCCAGCAGAGCGCGGTTTCGGCATGGCACGGTGCTAGCGTGGTGCCGGTACGGTGCTAACACCGTTCCAGCACGGTGCCGGTGCTGTGCCAGGTACCAGCACGGTGTCGGCGCTTTGCCGGTGCCGGTGCTTTGCCGGTGCGGTGCCGGTGCGGTGCAGGCGCGCTGCAGGCGCGGTGCCGGTGCGGTGCCGGTGCGGTGCAGGCGCGTGCCTTCTTGCTGCCCAGGTACATGACGAAGCGGCTATTGGGCTCCGTCTGCCGCCGCCGCTGCTGCTCGCCCATGCGGATGTAGAAGCTGAGAAGCGAGTAGGCCTTGAGGTCCTGCAGGTTCTGCAGCGGGCGCACCTGGACCCCCGAGGTGCCGTTGAACTTCATGGACACCTTGACCTGCGCGGCGGGGAGAGGGGGCGTTCGTCGTCACAGTGTGCACGAGTGGATGTACGAGGGTTTGCGTGTGTGTCTTTTTAAAATGAAGCTAAATTCTTTATTTTACTTTTTACTTACCAGGTAAGGCCCACTCAGCCATATAGAAACAGCCTGGCCACAAATGATAGCTCAACGAAGTGGCTTTTCATCATGTGCGAATTTATAGCAGCCAAATGTATGTTCACGTGTCGGTGAGGACCGGTAGTGCAGTGGTTATTGTGCGGGGTTACGAAGTTAGATTCCCGCTCACTAACAGCACTCGCCCCAACAGTCCGTTGAGGCTACACGGGGGGATCTTTGTCTTTGTGTGCGGGATCTTGCGACGTGGCACACGGTGCGGTGGTGATGTGGCGATGCGTGACGTCGTGCGGGATGCCGCGTTGTGGCGCGTGGACGGTGCGTCGCGACGTTGCCACTCGACGGCGCGCGAGTTGGCATGCTGTTGCTGCGACGTCGCGTGGGGCGAGCCGTGCACGTGCCATCCTGTGCCCCACGTGCCTTCATGGCCGCATCCCGGGCCTGTGCGATGAGCGTCTGGATGCGGGAGATGTTGTTGGCGATGTTCGAGGACGGGATGCGGTTCTGCAGACGATCCAGCTTCTGCAGGATGTCGGGGATCGTCTCCGCCAGGGTTTTGACTGCACGCAGAAGCAGCAGCCAATCACCGCACTGACCTCCCTTACGAAAACGAGCATCCACAGCAAGCAGCTCTACCAGCGGTGGGGGAGAATAGTTTCCTTATCGGGGCCTTGGACTTTCAAACACCTTGGCAGAAGGCCACACAACGACACCAACAACAGCCTCCGTTGGCCACTAAGCGGCGGTGACGTCACCACGGCACCCGTGCCAGGGCAGGTGCACTTTGAAGCTAAGTGAAGTGTCGAATGCTCACTCACAGGAGGTCACGGGACAGACCCAGGTGCCCGTGGGTTGACTTATTGAGATGACTGGCAGATGCACCCAGCTTTCCCCCTACTGTACCCACACTTACTCACACACACTCACTCGCGCCTCATTCCCTTCTGTTACTGCAAATTAACTCCCCTGCAGTGACAGACGTTAACAACAGAAACACAGCATTGCCAGGTCTACAATATTCCCGCGGAGTGCCCGATCAGTGCTGCTAAAGATGCTTGCAAGTAACTCAAAACCCACACTCTCTGTAAACGATGATGATATCCCATCACGAGAGGAGAATTGAGCGCGCAGGCCGAAAAAACAAATGTGCTTGCTGCTCACAGGCACCAGTCGCATTCATTACGCCTCGCACGCACGTCACGTGACCACTACAAAACGCACGTCACGTGACCACCGCAATGGGCACGTCACGTGACCACCGCAACGGGCGCACGATGCTCCCAAGCCTTGCGGTCGTAGATGCACGGCGTCCGAAGCTGCGACTGTCGACTCGCCGCGCTCGAGCACCCGGCTGACTCCCACGTGGCTGAAGCCCAGAATGTAAACGAGGGCTTCTCAGTGGTACTCCCCGACACCGCTTCCGAGACGTCTGGCCAGAGTCGGAGAGTAGGCCCCAACTACCCCCTCTCTCTCTGTCTCTCTGTCTCGACAGGGAGAGACAGAGATTGAAAATAAGAGATAGGGAGAGAAAGAGATATATAGAGATAGATAGAGAGAGACAGAGAGAGATAGATAGAGACAGAAGAGACAGAGAGACAGAGAGAGACAGAGAGAGCTCCCGATAAGGGAGGGCCCCCTCCCGGGGCCCCCTCCCGCCTGCAGTGGCACGAGCCGGCGCCTGCAGAGCGGCGTACCCTTGGCGCCTCTCGGCCCTGCCCACGTCAGGGCAACGTCAGGGCAACGTCCCCCCCCTCAACGCAACAAAAACAACTCCCGCTCCTTCCAGGCCAGGGACGTTCCCGACGTCGACGGCGCGCGGAGCCGGTGGGGGTGGTGGGGGGATGGGGGGGGGGTAGCGGGGCTCACTCGTCCTTTTGGCGTCGGTGAGGGCGGCGCTGTAGGCCGCGTTGTCGGCGGGCGCGCGGCTGAACTTGTCCCTCCACTCGTCGAGCTGCCGCTCCACGGGCCCCATGGCGGCGTCCACCTCGGCGGCGACGGCCTGCGCGTCGTCCGCCGCCTGCAGCGTGCGGTTCAGCACCTCCCCCACGTCCCCTGGGGCCCGCGGTGACGGCGGCGACGGTCGACGGGAGGCGATGTGTGAACCGCGGCCACGACCGCGGCGGTGACAGACAAAGTCAGAGGTCAGAGAGGGAAGCGTCTCTCGGAGCTCCAATGAGCCATTGGGAGAGTGTTCACGTGGAGGGGGGAGGAGCGAAGCTCACAACAATGAGTGGAGCGCCGGGTGGATAAAGCACAGCAAGTTGCCACAGTAGGGGGCACAGGTGGTGCATCAGCCAGTCGTCTCAGTCAGTCGACCTGTGGCATCTAGGTCTGCCCCGTGACCTCCTGCCAGCGGGCGTTCGACACTTCACGTGGCCTCAACGTGCACATGGCCTGGCACAAGCGTCGTGGTGACATCACCGCTACTTAGTGGCGGTTGTTGTTGTTGTGTCTACGTGGGAGTGTGTATATGTGTGTGTGTGAACGTGGAACTGTGTATGTGTGTGTACGTGGGAGTATGTATATGTGTGTGTGTACGTGGAACTGTGTGTGTGTACGTGGGAGTGTGTATGTGTGTGTGTGTGTACGTAGGAGTGTGTATGTGTGTGTGTGTACGTGGGAGTGTGTGTGTGTGTGTACGTGGGAGTGTGTGTGTGTGTAGGTGGGAGTGTGTATATGTGTGTGTGTGTACGTGGGAGTGTGTGTGTGTGTACGTGGGAGTGTGTATGTGTGTGTACGTGGGAGTGTGTATATGTGTGTGTGTTCGTGGGAGTGTGTATGTGTGTGTACGTGGGAGTGTGTATATGTGTGTGTGTTCGTGGAACTGTGTATGTGTGTGTACGTGGGAGTGTGTGCTGGTGGCACGGAGCTCCGCGCACCTCGGGAGACCATGTTGATGTTGTCGATGGCGGCTTGTAGCGCTGCCTGCACTTCCGCTCGCTTGCGCTGGGTCGCGACCAACCGCTCCTTCGCTCCTTGCAGCTCCTGCTCCGTCACTGAGAGTGCAGCCACACAGCACGAAAGACAAAGATCCCCCGTATAACCTTCACAGACTGTTGGGCAAGTGTTGTTAGCGAGGGGGTGGGTGGCCAGCACCACGCCTGGCCGCATTTGTCTCCCCAGTGGCGATGCTTACAAAACCTCACCAGGTACTCATTTGAGGCTGAGTCGACCTAGGGGAGTCCCGGGACCGGTTTAAATAATCGTTACTGGTGTTGGCCGTGAGTGGGAATTGAACCCAAGTCGCCAGGTTCGTAGCGCAGCGTGCCAACCGCTACACTACCGCTCCCCACACTCACGCCACACACACACACTCAAAATATCAAAGACAAAGATCCCCCGTGTAGCCTTGACAGACTGTTGGGACAAGTGCTGTTAGCGAGCATCTATGAAGGTCAGCACTGCGCACGAAAGGGTGGGTGGCCAGTACCACGCCCGACCGCCTTTGTCTCACCACACACACACACAGAATGGGACACACACGCTCTCCCCGTACCGGACTCCAACTGGTCCTTGGCGGTGTTTGCGTTGATCAGCTGGTTCTCGCTCTCCTCTCGTGAGGCCTTCGCTTTCCTTGGGAAGTCATTGGTGTCCACGTTCTGTTGGGAACGCAATGGAACGCGACGCAGGCCGTACGAGTTTCAGGTTCATGATTTTGCTTCGCCAGGCAAGAGCTCAGGCGAGCCTGGGAGACTACGTGGCCAGGAGGAGGCCGGGGAGGGCAGCGACCGTCCAAAGTGGCGTCACGCTACCGTACCCTCGTGAGCACACACACGGACAAAGACAAAGATCCCCCGTATAGCCTTAACAGACTGTAGGGGCAAGTGCTTTTAGCGAGCACCTATAAAGGCCGGCACGGCACACGAGGGGGTGGGTGAGCAGCACCACACCCGACTGCCTTTGTCTCCCCAGTGGCGATGTTTACTACACACCGCACCAGGTACTCATTTGAGGCTGAGTCGACCTAGGGGAGGCCCAGGACCGGTTCACAAAATCGTCACTGGTGTTGGCCGTGAGCGGGAATCAAACCCAGTTCGCCGGGAGCATAACGCAGCGCGCTAACCGCTACACTACCGCTCCCCACAAGCACACACACGGACACACACAGATACACACGCAAACACACAGATACACACACACACACACACCTGTTAACCCATTACAGCTTAACCCTGGTATTCTTGTACAGGGAAATAGATGTTTTCCATATCCATACGGCGTACAGCCGTTTGTGTTTCTCCCTTGTGATGGGACTTTGTAAGATGAACGTTGAGATTTATAAGGGCACGAGGCGACCAAGAAGGCCTGATTTGCTCTGTAGTAAGGTGAGCATTGATAAGGGGTTGACAGGTATGAATACATATTAAGACTGGTCGGGCTGCTGAAAAATATTCCCAGCACAGTTGCTTAAGTTACCAGCGTAGAAACCTGACCAGGGATTGACTCAGGCCCATCCTGCCTACTGGGTGATTAAAATAACTACCGCTTTATGGCCAGCTATTGTTGTCTCGTGGGTATAAAACAAAAAGCCTTCCCCAATACTCCCCACTGGTTCACTTGTTCAAGGCTGGCCACCAGAGAGAGATCCCACACTCAGTCTGAGACAGGGAGACAATTGCGAGCCAACGGGCTTCCCCCTTGCGTCGTCGTCGTCACCTGCTCGACGCGCATGGCCGTGTCGAGTGCCATCGTTGAGGCCGCCTCGGCCTCCTTGAGGGCCTTGATGATGTCCTCGTAGGCCCTGGAGGCGTTGATCGCCTTCTGTGTGAAGCCGCTGGTGTCGTCTGTGGCCACGCTCCTAGCGCACGGCGGGCAGGAGAGGAGAGGGCCCGGGTCAAGAGCTGGACGACTCCCGGCTCCGTGTGCATCGTGTCATGCGCATCGCGCTCTGTGTGCATCGCGCTCTGTGTGCATCGCGCTCCGCGTGCTCCGTGCTCCGTGCTCCGTGCGGCTCTCACCGTGTGAGGTTGCGCACCGCCTCCTGCATGCGCCGCGCGTGCTCCTCTGCTCGCTGCACCAGCGACCCGAGGTCCCCTGTGGGCCCGCGCTCGTTGAGCCACGCGGAGAGACCCTGCAGGGCGCCGTCCACCTCGGCCGCCAGCTGCTCGCACTCCTGCGTCGCACGCAAAGACAAAGGTCCCCCGCGTAGCCTACACAGACCGCCGGGGCAAGTGCCATTCGCGAGCGCCTTCCGGCGCCGCGTCCCCCGCTGCCTGCGTCTCAGCAGTGACGACGTTCGCGCGCCGCACCGAGGATTCATTTGAAGCCGAGTCAACCTAGGGGAGGCCCATCACCGGTTGAGACGCATGCCACGGATTGTGAGCCGTGGCCGGGAATCGTGCGTGCGTTTATGCATTGTGTAGAACCCACAGTGAGCGTATGTGTGTGCGTGTGTCTGTGTGTGTGAGCGTGCGTGCATTGTGTGCGTGCGTGCATGCTTCGTGTGTGTGTGTGCATGCTTCGTGTGTGCGTAAATGTGTGTGCGTGTGTGTATGCGTGCGTATGTGTGTGCGTGTGTATGTGTGCGTGTGTGTGTGCGTGTGTGCGTGTGTATGTGTGACCGCGTAGTTCGTGAAGCCTTCAATAGCTGTACCGGGGGAATTTCCATTTGGTACAGATATAATGGGAGGCTGATCGATGCCCGGGTGCGATCAAGGGATGGCTCCCTATTGGTCAACCACGTTATGTATGCCGATGATTTGGTAATAGCTGCTCATTCAGAAGAGGAGTTGGAGACGCTGCTGCTGAGACTGGAGCGTGCCACTAAGAGGTGGGGCCTTACCATCAGCCCCACCAAAACTAAGCACCTGCCTGGGTATTTTGTACCATCGGACACTCCACCCCCACAACTCCCAATTGGTGATGGGGCAGCTGTGGAGAGAGTGGAGAGTTTCCCATACCTGGGCAGTGTGCTTATGACCGGCTCCAGTTTATCAGCAGAAGTCTCACTCCGAATCAGTCGAGCGGCAATATCTTTTCATCGGTTGCGTAACGCTGTGTGGAAGCTACCTGGTCTGTCGCTCCGCACGAAGCTTCAGGTCTTCTCGGCCACGGTCATTCCCTCCCTTCTCTACGCTTGCGAAACGTGGACCCCCCTAGTGGAGCATCTTCGCCGGTTGGAAACATTTAGGCTGGCCTGCCTACGATCCATCCTGGGTTTAACCAGGCTGGATTGTGTGAGGAGCTCACAAATCCTTGAAAGATCTGGGCAAGGTCCCATCAGTGAGCTCCTCCGGCAGGCAAGGCTGCGTTGGCTGGGTCATGTAGCCCGCATGCCCAGCCACCGCATGCCTAAACAGCTTTTGTTCGGCCGGATCGAGGGGGCTAGACGAGCGCGGCACGGGCTGGGGAAGAGATGGAGTGATGTGGTACAGGAGGACGTGGAGCTGAGTGGACTTGCCGATGACTGGTACCAGCGGTGTCAAGATCGGCCTCAGTGGAGGAGGCTCGTGAAGGACGCTACTGGGCAGTTGGAGGCAGTCGCCCTCCAACAACAACGGAGGGCGGAGGAGCGACGCTCACAACAACGAGCAGAGCGCCGGGTGGCTAAAGCACAGCAAGTTGGCACAGTAGGGGGCACAGGTGGTGCATCAGCCAGTCATCTCGGTCATCTCGGTCAGTCGACCCGTGGCATCTGGGTCTGCCCCGTGACCTCCTGCCAGCGGGCGTTCGACACTTCACGTGGCCTCAAGGTGCACTTGGCCTGGCACAAGCATCGTGGTGACGTCACCGCCACTTAGTGGCGAATGGCGGTTGTTGTTGTTGTTGTTGTGTGCATGTGCGCGTGCGTGCGTGCGCGCGTGGTGTAGCACTCACGGTGCGCGTGTTCTCCAGGCCCTGCAAGCTCTGGTACGCGTCCAGCAGCTGTTGCTCCGCCGCATTCAGCACCCCGAGGGCTTCCTGCACCAACCTGGCCACCTGCTGCCCCTTTGCCTGCAAAGCGATCGCCACCACCATCACCATCATCATCGTCGTCGTCGTCACCGCCATGATTAATCCGCTGCTGGACGAAGGCCTCCACTCTCACGATCCCGCGATGTCATAAACGACCGTCCTGGCACATTCACACGAGCCGATCGCTCCATCTCCCCCCCCACCCCTGTGAAGTCCCTGTCGGACGCGCTCCGTTCCTTGGCTGCCGCTCCGTCACCATCCCTGAGCGTCGCCCACCGTCCCTTCCAAGAGCCTCTCAAGCTCATTGAAGGTGATTCAAATGGTGGTGGCGATGAACACGATGGTGACAGTATCAATGTAAACACAAATAGCTCGTGGCTTGAAACTTGGTAGGGGTCTGGATTGGGATGCTTGGCCAAATCTCTGAATGAGCGTTGGGCACAAAAGACAAAGTAGGCGACACTCCGACCCCACGCTCAGTGTGGTGACACCACACCCTGTCCTGCCACCTCACAGCCCAGCCGATTTCTGTGCGATCCACCTACCCTGGCCTCCAACGCTGCGGCTCTGCGCCACCGCGTCCCGGCTCGCTCGTCTGTGAACCCACCCCAACCCCCCCCCCCCGCCGCCCTGCCCCCACCCAATTCCTTCCATTGGTGAATCGGCAAACTAGAAGAAGACTGCGGATTGACACAATCACTCCACTTGTTTGGAGTGCCAAGTCACCGATCCTCAATCCCGCCACAGAGATTGCCGGAGCAAGTGATGTTGCCGAATGCCTATTAACGCTTTCCCATTCCGATGACGTACGTGTACATCATCAGCAAAAGGCCATGCAGGAGGGCCTGTGGCACAGTTTGGCGCCAGCAAACATCGAGCGCGGTCGTGTCGCCACGGTTCTCTGCGGTGATCAACAATGTCTTTAAAAGCAGCAGGGCGCCACGCCTCTCTAAGTAAAATGAACACAAGCCACTTGAGCGTTCCGAGATTCAGCGGCGAGCGGGGCACCCCACCCTGCAACTTGCAGACCACTAGGGACGGGAAAGGGGTTAAGGCCGGCACGGAGCAGCGCGTTGGGGGTGCTACAGCCACAGCACCGCCTGCTTGTCCTCGCAACGCTGTCGTTGAACTCGGCGAGGGTTTAGCTCGATACTCGCCTGGGTCAACCTGGAATCAGGGGTCGGCAAACCTGCCGCTCCAGAGCCGCACGCGGCTCTTTAGGGAACTGCTTCGTTGACGTCATTCGCGTGCATTGGCGGCTCTCTTTTCTCTCCGCCTGATGAAGTCCACTTGTGTTGCGATCGAAACGTCGTGGTTTGTTTGCTTTTATTTTTTTATTTTAATTTATTTTGAATTTTAATTTAATTTTATTTTCTATCTACGTGATTTTACCGAAAGAAGCAAGAATATATTTTGGTTTATAATTTTTTAAAAGTTTTTACCCAACGTGAAAAAACAGATGGATTTTCCTGTTATTTTTTTGGTAGCCGACCCCCTGACCTAGGGTGTGTGGGCCTGACGGGGGCCGTGCGTGGCGTCGCACGTGCCTCGTTGTCCCGCAGCGCGTCCCGGCTGACGCTGTTGACGGTGGCGGCGCGCCGGCTGGCGTTGCTCGCTTGGTTGAGGACGTCGCGGAGCTCCATGAGCTTAGCCTGGTAGGAGTCGAGGTCCTTCGTGACGGCCGCCCCCATGGCCGCCGTCTCTCCCGCGGGGACGCCGACCTCCTGCTGCACGTGCTGCAGCACTGGGGACGCAAACCACACGCACCGCACAAAGCACACGCACCGCACAAACCACACGCATCACACGCACCACACGCACCGCACGCACCACACGCACCGCACAAAGCACACGCACCGCACAAACCACACGCATCACACGCACCACACGCACCGCACGCACCACACGCACCGCACAAAGCACACGCACCGCACAAACCACACGCATCACACGCATCGCACGCACCGCACGCACCGCACGCACCGCACCGCACGCACCGCACGCACCACACGCACCACACGCACCGCACGCACGCACCACACGCACCGCACGCACCACACACACCGCACGCACGCACCACACGCACCGCACGCACCAACCAACCACACGCACCGCACGCACGCACCACACGCACCGCACGCACCAACCAACCACACGCACCGCACGCACGCATCACACGCACCGCACGCACCGCACAAAGCGCACACACCGCACCCACGCACCGCACGCACGCACCGCACAAACCACACGCACCGCACACACGCACCGCACACATGCACCGCACGCACCACAGTCAGCGCGACCACCCCCGCTACTCGCCAACTGCCACACCCCCCCCCCCCTCGCTGCTCGCTCGTTGTCTCGGCTGCCGGCCCGGCGAGGGTTTAGCAGACCGGGTGGGGAGTGGCTCGGGGCCGAGCGCGGGTGGACGGTGCCGCTGGTATCGCCGTGCGGCGTTTCGACAGCGAGCGAGAGGTGAGTGCGGCCAGAAGTGAGCGCGAGGGCGATGAGAATGAGGTTTGAGCGAGCGAGCTATTGCGTTCGCGAGTGAGTGCGCACGTGAGTTGAAAGGTGGGCGGGCATGTACCATAAGTGACGGAGCTCATTAGTGAATGGGCGGGTGACTGAGTGAGTAAATGTCGAAGGGAATGAGTGAGTGTGCGTGTGTGTGAATTCAGAAGTGAGTGAAAAGGTGAGCGACTAAGTGAATGGGACAGTTCATGAGATAATAATGGGAAACTATTGAGACAGGAAGAGCAGCATTGGCTACAGCGAGCTGAATGAAATCACCGCAATAACATTTATATATTAAGGAAGTGGGGGGTGGGGGGGTGAATTGCTATGCAGACAGAGAGAGTGGTTGTGACTATGACAGCAGCTCTAGCAAAGAGACAAGGAGGAGACGGACAGAATACGAGTAGCCATGGTAACGATGATGACAGCAGTATTTCTAGGAAAGAGACAAGGGGGAGTGGCTGCCCGGTGATGCCACGAGGGGGGGGGGGCAGGGGGGGGGGCGCACGTTTGTCAGCGAGGTGCTTCTCCTGCCGCGCCAGCTCGGCCTGCGCGTGCAGCGAGCGCCGCCTCATGTCGTCCAGCAGGCGCGTCGCCTCCGCCATCTTGCGCTGGAACTCGTCGGACGAGGGCAGCGCCCCCCCTGACTCGGGGTTCCGGTCCAGGTCCGCCGCTTGGCGCAGGAGATCTGCGTCGAGCGAAAGGGGGGGGGCGCCACCCGCCCAACCGCGCGCTCGTTACGGGACGGACCGGGGCCAAACCGCCGGCCGATTCGAAAGTCCGGAGGCCTCGCAGTGAAAACTACCGCCTAAGTTTGATCCCCGACGTGGACGCCTCTCTGTGTGGAGTTTTGTTTTTTCTCTCCCCCCGCCCTTTTCTGGGTTTTTTTTTTACAGTTTCCTCAACAAAGCTTAAAAGAAAAAAAACTACAAGGGAGGGGTAGTGGGGGTAGCGTTGGTCTTACCGAGCACGGAACGCACCGTTCAATCACACCACACGTTATAGTTGGCGCTAAACCAATCATCGCACATCGGGTGGGACCAACATTGCGGTGTGTTCTTGGATCTATCGGGTCACCCTTGCGTGGGGTTTCATCAAAACTAAATCACCGCCCGGAGTCCTGGCCGCATGGCTGCAGAGTCAGAATATGTATTTAGACTGGAGAAAATCTGATGAGCTAGGAAGCTCTTTTCTTTTACAAATTTCCTAGTTGTCGCACGGGGTCATACAGTTACTACAACAACAACACGAAAACCAATGGGAATGCAAAGTATAGAAAAGGTAAGAAAGTCACTCAAGTAAATAATTAAAAATAAAGTATACAAGTACCAATTGCTAAGGTACATCAAATCCTGCCGAAAACACGATCGGAGTGCAAAGTATAGGAAAAATAAGCAAAATTACAAAAAAAATCGTAAAATAGATAAAAATACACCAGGTACACCAATTCCCAAACTTGGGCAAGGCAGCAAAACCACAGCAGCAAAAACAGTCCCAGACCACACCAAGACCACGACGCACAGTCCCTCAATCAAACAAATCCACAGTAAAATTGCGAAAGGCGCAGGCCCGCGATGGCTCGTTCACCGTTACTGCCGGCGGAAGGCCCCTTGGCTAGAGGCTAGAGGGAGCTCGTTGGGAACCCCCCTGCGAGAGGGCGTTTGAACGTGCGCGCCGCTGCAGCTGCACGGCGCTGTACTAAAGCGATAAACGACGAGGACGATGAACATCCGGCGAAACCGGGCGCGTCGACCACGGCGGTGGCGCGTTTGCCGTTTGTTGCAGAGGGAGTTTGCGGTCCGAGCCCAGTGGCCACCCTGCTCAATATCTGCAGGCGTGTTTGACCGAGGAAAAAAAAAAATCTTCTCAGTCCGAGTCACAGCGAAGGTTGAACGTCGCCAAACGTGACGGGAGTCAGACTCGGAGGGGTGGAAGGAGAACACGTTCGTCCAGATCGCTTATAATGTTTTTCTTTCATTTATTTATTCAGTTATAACCCCCACCCCCCACACCGCATCCCTTGTCATCCTCCTTCCCTCACTTTAAACAGAATAAAACGACGCTTCCCCCTCTCGGTGCGGACCTGCCTGGGTCGGGACAGCAGCCGCTGTTCGATTCCCATATCTCTACTCCCTGCTTTGTACAAGCGGTTGAGTTTGTGTTGACGGTGCGCGCGTGACAACGCGATCTAACGGCCCGCCGCCGTGAATTGCCTCGGTGTAAAAGTCACCAAAACGCGACGAGAGAACAAAGGCGAGGGGGCCAACGTGTGCCCCGACCCCAAGGGGGCCGCGTTTTTTTGCCGAACTTTTGAAAGAAGCTCGCACAAAAACCCGACCGGGCCTTGGGAAGGGGGGGGGGGGGTTGTGGGGGTGGGGTTCAGTCGGCGCACCCTGGATGTGGGCCGCCAGGCGGTGCACGCCGTGCAGCAGCCCCTCCGCTTGCTGCCGGCTCGACTCCACGGCGGCCTCCAGCCTCTTGGCCAGCGTCACGGAGGCGTTGGCCTGCGGAGACGAGGGGGGCGCGGAGGGGACGAGCTCGGGTTGGCGATGCGTGGGGTGTGGGTAGTGCGCGTAGTGCGTGTGTGTGCAGTGGGGAGTGGTCGTGTAGTGGTTAGCGCGCTGGGCTGCGAACCTAGTGAGTCGAATTCGATTCCCGTTCACGGCCAACAACAGTGACTATCATCTGAACTGGTCCTGGGCCTCCTTTAGGTTGACTCAACCTCAAATGAGGATCTGTAAAAACATCGTCAATGGAGAGACAAAGGCAGTCGGGCGTGGTGCTGGCCACCCGCTCCCTCATGTACCGTGCCAGCCTTCAACAGTCTGTTAAGGCTATATGGGAGATCTTTGTCTTTGAACTTGTGTGGCCAGTCATCTCAATCAGTCAACCCATAACACCTGGGTCTGTCCCGTGACCTCCTGCCGGCGGACGTTCGACACTTCGCGTGGCCTTAAAGTGCACATGGCCTGGCACAGGCGCCGTGGTGACATCACAGCCACTTAGTGGCGAATGGCGGTCATTGTTGTTGTGTGAACACATTGCGAGGTTTGGCACCCGTGCGTGGAGAGCCTCCGACTCCTGTGCGAACCCCGGCAGGTTCATCTCCATCGCATCCAGCTGACCGCGCTGCCTCTCCATGAGGCCGTTCACCTGGCCCAGAGCCGCCTGCAAAGGGGCACGCAAAACACAAACGTTGCCCGCGGAAGCCTTCAACGGGCCGCGAGCGAGCACCCATCGAGGTGCCTCGCTCAGATAAATTTCCGTGCGACCCACCGACCCAGTGAGCGACGCGCGGGCCCGGCTGGTGGGCACGTGTGTCTCCTGGCTGTTGGGCACGAGTGTCTCCTGGCTGGTGGGCACGCGTGTCTCCTGGCTGGTGGGCACGCGTGTCTCCTGGCTGGTGGGCACGCGTGTCTCCTGGCTGGTGGGCACGCGTGTCTCCTGGCTGGTGGGCACGCGTGTCTCCTGGCTGGTGGGCACGAGTGTCTCCTGGCTGGTGGGCACGAGTGTCCTCCTGCTGGTGGGCACTAGTGTCTCCTGGCATGTGGGCACGCGTGTCTCCTGGCTGGTGGGCATGCGTGTCTCCTGGCTGGTGGGCATGCGTGTCTTCTGGCTGGTGGGCACGCGTGTCTCCTGGCTGGTGGGCACGAGTGTCTCCTGGCTGGTGGGCACGAGTGTCTCCTGGCTGGTGGGCACTGAGTGTCTCCTGGCTGGTGGGCACGTGTGTCTCCTGGCTGGTGGGCACGAGTGTCTCCTGGCTGGTGGGCACGCGTGTCTCCTGGCTGGTGGGCACGCGTGTCTCCTGGCTGGTGGGCATGAGTGTCTCCTGGCTGGTGGGCATGCGTGTCTCCTGGCTGGTGGGCACGCGTGTCTCCTGGCTGGTGGGCATGCGTGTCTCCTGGCTGGTGGGCATGAGTGTCTCCTGGCTGGTGGGCACGCGTGTCTCCTGGCTGGTGGGCATGCGTGTCTCCTGGCTGGTGGGCACGCGTGTCTCCTGGCTGGTGGGCACGCGTGTCTCCTGGCTGGTGGGCATGCGTGTCTCCTGGCTGGTGGGCATGAGTGTCTCCTGGCTGGTGGGCACGTGTGTCTCAGGGCTGGTGGGCACGTGTGTCTCCTGGCTGGTGGACATGCGTGTCTCCTGGCTGGTGGGCACGTGTGTCTCAGGGCTGGTGGGCACGTGTGTCTCCTGGCTGGTGGGCATGAGTGTCTCCTGGCTGGTGGGCACGTGTGTCTCAGGGCTGGTGGGCATGCGTGTCTCCTGGCTGGTGGACATGCGTGTCTCCTGGCTGGTGGGCACGTGTGTCTCCTGGCTGGTGGGCATGCGTGTCTCCTGGCTGGTGGGCACGTGTGTCTCCTGGCTGGTGGGCATGCGTGTCTCCTGGCTGGTGGACATGCGTGTCTCCTGGCTGGTGGACATGCGTGTCTCCTGGCTGGTGGACATGTGTGTCTCCTGGCTGGTGGGCATGTGGGTCTCCTGGCTGGTGGGCATGAGTGTCTCCTGGCTGGTGGACATGTGTGTCTCCTGGCTGGTGGGCATGCGTGTCTCCGGGCTGGTGGGCATGCGTGTCTCCTGGCTGGTGGACACACGTGTCTCAGGGCTGGTGGGCGTGTGTGTCTCCAGCGGTGATTAAATCCAAGAACCCAGAGCGGCGGTGCAGCGGTAACGCCCCACGCGGCCTCACAGAAAAAAGTCCCCAAGTTCGCTTCCTGACTCGGGCGTCTCCGTGTGGAGTTTTTACCGCTTTCCTCAACAAAGCTTTAAAAAAACGTACAAAATATAATTTCTATTGGCCCAACTATACCGACGCTGACAAAATAAACCTGCAAAGTTGCTCCACTGGGGATTTTGCGCAGCAGCAATATTTGAGAAGCTGGCAGGGGCCTTCCCGACACGAGCTCGAAGCCTGATATCGAGTCTGCGAATGACGACGACGTTGGTGGCGACGTGGGCGAGCTCGGTGGCGGGCGCGACGTACCCGCGTGGAGCTCGCCGACTCATTGACGTTGTGGAGGCGCGTGAAGGCGAAGGTGGTGGCCGTGAGGTTTTGCAGCCGCAGGCGTGTCGCTTCCGCCTCGGCGTCCGAGCGCCGCAGGTCGTCCAGCAGGACCACGACGCAGTTGTCGCAGGCTGCGGTGCGCACAAAAAGCAAAAAAAAACAGGATGCTGACGTCACGGCAGATTCCCAGTGCCGCGCGATGGGCAAAAGCCATCGCTGAACTCTTGCCTGTGTGCGGTCGAACTACCACCGCGGTGCGGGGGACGCCCTCTGACTAGAGGGCCGTACATGCACAAAACACGCGAGGCCTCTACACGGTGGCGGGATGTTACCTCCTTCGCCTGGTATGCAGGAGGTCGGGGGTTCAATCTCGACCCTCACGCGTGCCTGTTATGTATTTGGAGTTTGTGTGTCTCTCTCCCCGTGTTCTCTTGGATTTTTCTCTGGGGCCTCCGGTTTTTCTCTTCACGTTTAGAATCAACGTGCTTTCAGAGTATTTGGATGCTATACATTTCCATGTGATAAGCCGCTTCGTTGAGCTGTCATTTGTGACCAGGTCGCTTCTGAAAAAGAGCTGTATAGCTCAGTGGGCATTACCGATGTGTTGTTCCTATTATCGTCCATTTTCAACAGGGTTTAATATTTTAAAATCAACAAAAACACTTTGGAATAACGAAAACTCCACACCAAGTCACAACGGAAACCACACTGTCGTGTTGGAAGATGCGTCATAAATAAAGTTCCTACATCATAAATCGATCCACGGTGGCGTTATATAAATGGCGTAAATGTGGATCATCGTCAATCGGACCGCCGTAAACCAGAGACCGCCCGTATAGATTTGCATGTATGTACACAACCAACCGTGCTAATCGGAGGTTCGGGGCAAGGACAGCAAACTCAACACAAAAAAGCGGTTCTAAAGAAATGATTTTTTAATCTAAGATTTCTTTTTTTTGTATGTAGGTGATGCATTTGTGGAGATATTGTTATTTGCGGAGGAGCACAGCTGGAAATAAGTGCGGGACGGAGGCAACCGCCCTCCCGTCTGGGGCTCACGTTGGCAGTGCACGGTGCCGTGAGGATGCGGGAGCGGCAGGGAGTGCGGGTCGAGGCAGGAGCCGCACTGCGGCCCCGTGACCCCCTGGGGGCAAGAGCACCGCCCGCTGCTCGGGTCGCACTGCCCCGTGTGGCACTCGCACCCTGCACACACACACACATACACACACACGTGAACACACACACACGTATACACACACACGTGAACACACACACGTATACACACACACATGAACACACACACGTATACACACACACGTTAACACACACACACACACACGTATACACACACACGTGAACACACACACACGTATACACACACACGTGAACACACACACACGTACACACACACACGTTAACACACACACACGTATACACACACACGTGAACACACACACACGTATACACACACACATGAACACACACACGTATACACACACGTTAACACACACACACACACACACGTATACACACACACGTGAACACACACACACGTATACACACACACGTGAACACACACACGTGAACACACACACACGTACACACACACACGTTAACACACACACACACACGTATACACACACACGTGAACACACGTACACGTACACACAAGCACACACACGCACACACGTACACATATACACAAGCAGACACGTGAACACATACACACGTACACACAAGCACACACGTCAACACACACACACGTATACACACACACGTGAACACACACACACGTGAACACACACACACGTGAACACACACACGTATACACACACACGTGAACACACACACACACACACACGTGAACACACACACACGTGAACACACACACACGTGAACACACACACACATGTCAACACACACACACACGTCAACACACACACACACGTACACACAAGCACACAAGTGAACACACATACGTACACACAAGCACACACGTCAACACACATACACACGCTCACACGTGTACACTCACGTGTAAACATGCACACACACGTACACGTATACACAAGCACACACATGAACACACACACACGTATACACAAGCACACACGTGAACACACACACGTACACACAAGCACACACGTGAACACACACACACGTATACACAAGCACACACGTGAACACACACACACACGTATACACAAGCACACACGTGAACACACTCACATGTGTACACTCAAACGTGCACACACACGTGTACACACACACACGCGTGTAAACATGCACACACACGTGTACACGCATACGTGTACACACACACGTGTTTACTCACATTCTGCACACACACAAAGACAGACTGTTGGGGCAAGTGCTGTTAGCTAACACCTATGAAGGCCGGCATGATACATGAGGGAGCAGGTGGATCTCTGGCAGGAGGTCACGGCACAGACCCAGGTGCTATGGGTTGACTGCCGGAGGGCGACTGCCACCACGCGCCCACACACACACGTGCCCACACACACACGTGCCCACACACACACGTGCCCACACACACACGTGCCCACACACACACGTGCCCACACACACACGTGCCCACACACACACGCGCCCACACACACACGCGCCCACACACACACGCGCCCACACACACACGCGCCCACACACACACGCGCCCACACACACACGTGCCCACACACACACGTGCCCACACACACACGTGCCCACACACACACGTGCCCACACACACACGTGCCCACACACACACGTGCCCACACACACACGTGCCCACACACACACGTGCCCACACACACACGTGCCCACACACACACGTGCCCACACACACACGTGCCCACACACACACGTGCCCACACACACACGTGCCCACACACACACGTGCCCACACACACACGTGCCCACACACACACGTGCCCACACACACACGTGCCCACACACACACGTGCCCACACACACACGTGCCCACACACACACGTGCCCACACACACACGTGCCCACACACACACGTGCCCACACACACACGTGCCCACACACACACGTGCCCACACACACACGTGCCCACACACACACGTGCCCACACACACACGTGCCCACACACACACGTGCCCACACACACACGTGCCCACACACACACGTGCCCACACACACACGTGCCCACACACACACGTGCCCACACACACACGTGCCCACACGCGCACACCGCACAGCAATCGCGAGCGGCGAGTGCGAGGCTCACTCCTGCAGCCCTGGGGCCCCAGGTCCCAGTGTCCCGGCTGACAGCGGTCGCAGGCGATGCCCTCGACCCCCGGGGGGCAGGCGCACTGCCCCGTGGTGACGTCGCACGCACCCCCGCCGCCGCACTCGCACGCCCGGCAGCCCTGGCAGCCGTCGAACCCGTAGTATCCCTCCTGCGGAAGGCACGACAGCCCGGACATAGGGAACATTTTTTTGCCAGCGTCAGGAAGATGAACGAAACAATATATACACTTCACCCTTTTTGGCAAGAGCACAGGAGGTGTCAAGATGTCCAGACACCAAAGGGACACGCCTATCGCAAGGCATCAAAAGTCTGCATGCTTGTGGTGAAACGTGCAAACGAACATTCTCTGATAATAATTCACGCTTTGTCCACGAAGCCGATTGGCCTACACCAGAGACAGCCTCCTTCACGGCCTAGTCTCACCAGCGTTAGACCAGAGAGCGTCAAAAGGCAGACAGCACAAAGGCAACGCAAATACTGAAGCATTCATTGCTTTGCTCGAGCAACTAAATCTAAAGATGCCCCCACGTAGCCTTCAGCGAGACCATTGGGGCAAGTCCTGTTAGCGAGCACCTATAAGGGTCGGCACGGAGCACGAGTTTGTGGGTGGCTTGCACCACACCCGGCCGCCTTTGCCTCCCCGGTGCAGATGTTGACACACCGCTCCAGGTCAACCACCGTACATGTGATCTCGAGGAGGTCGATAACCCGTTCAGAGGTTCGCAACTGGTGATGGCCGTGGCCAGGCATCAAACTCAGGTCACAAGTGCGATAACCACCGCAACTAAGCGCACCAGATACCGGCAACATTGCACGTTTACATGTGTGTGTGCACAGACACACACAGGAAAATACGATAATTATCCTCTGCTCAGCCGTACGTAGTGAGGTACAGCAGCCAAGGGACATAACGTGTCAGAGAGGGCACGTCTGCTAAGGAGATGGAGCGATTAACATCGGCTCTTGTGCAGGCGCCGGGCGGATTATTACATCGCAGGACCGTGAGAGAAATGGCGACGCTTTGGGGGGCCTTCACCCAGCAGTGGATTGACCACGGCTTGACGATAATGACGACGACGATGACGACGACGAGGTAGAAACTTGTGAATGCTTGAGCCCAGAGCAGGTCGGTAAAGGAGAGAGAGGCCCCACGGGGAAACCCGTGCGTGCGATCAGCGAGTGTGCATTCAACGCGCGTGCGATCAGCAAGTGTGCATTCAACGCGCGTGCGATCAGCGCGCGAGTCGCCCCTCACCCACCCCACCGGCCCCCCTCGCTACTCACGCGGCAGCTGGAGCAGTGAGGCCCGGTGACGCCCGGCTTGCAGTGGCACCGGCCCGTGTGGACGTCACACTCCTGCGTGCCGCACGCGTCGCACGCGCACGCTGCTCCACGCACACACACACGCACACGCGCACGCACACGCGCACACACGCACACATGCACACACAAACACACACAAACACAGACACGCGCACACACGCACGCGGCCACGGCGCACGCACACAGAGGCCCACGTCAGCCCTCGTGCAGCGACGAGCCTGCCGTCGTGGAAGCCCACGCCGAGCACTGCGCAGTCGCACCACGTACCAAGATAATCCACACTGACCCCCCCCCCCCCCCCACCGGTACTAAGGCTCATTGGCTCGTCGTGCATGCATCACAGTTCACATTTGGACGCGTATTTAACACGTGGTGCTTTCGCGACCAACATTGAGATTCACGACCGATTTTTGTCGGTCGGATCGCGTTGTGTAATGCGTGTGTCGTACACCCTCCTCCACCCGACGCAGCCAATTTACGAAGGTGTCACGAGATGCACAAAGGCGCCGGCAATGTTGTCGGGAGAGCGACCCACACACATCGGACAATTTGCCGCGACACTTCTCCGATGGTTACAGGCAGCACCAATCTGGCGGTTGCGAGTGATGGATGTAATCTGCCAGTAGGGGGCGATGTTGATATATATTTTTTATACAATTAAATAATTTCTAGGTTATTTTTTTTCCTCAGAGATACGGATCGTGAAGGGGGGCTGGCGAACGATGTCACGGGGGATCTTCAGCGTCCGTTGCGCGAGGCAGACGCCGCTCGGTGTTTTCACGGTTCACGGCGCGCCCGGCAGTATTAACCGGGACGGCCCCTGTGCTCAAACCGCATAACCCCCGCAGCAGCAAGGACGACGTGCGGCCAACCCACGACCGCTCGGTCATTTAAACGGTTGACATTTTCAACAAACACTGCGGTCGCAGATACGTTTATTTTCGTTTGTTATTATTCCTCCTATTTACCCCGGGGAGGGGAAACCTTCGCGGAGTCTCAAGACTCGTTTTCAGGAGGATCCTACCGCGTTTTTGTTGCAGAAAAGCAAGCGATGTCGCAACGAGTTGAGCCATTTGCTTAATACGCAGGTCACTCTGTCAACCTGGGAATGTTTCTGTCAAACTCTTTGGTTCTTTCGGTAAAGTCACGTAGGTAGAAAATATAATAGATCACGACGTTTCGATCGCAATGCAAGCAATCAGTCCTGCAGTCACGAAAGCTTCAAATCAAGAATGTTTCTGTCAGCTGCGGGAGGAAACCGGAGAACACGGAGACAACCGATGCACAACATGGTGCACGGGTGGGCGGAGGGGGGTGAGAGCACACAAAACTCCGGCGCAAAACAGCGCCAGAGTCAGAAATCGAAACCCAGGTGCCCCCTTGTTGCCGCGAGGCCGCCAGCAACCCCAACGTTCCGCTCGCCGCTCGACCGCCCGCGCCCGCCCATCCCCCCGTCCCCGGGGGCCGCACCAGTGCAGTTCTTGGCGACGACGGCGTCGCCGTAGAACCCCGGCGCGCAGAACTGGCAGTGGGGCCCCGCGGTGCCCGGCACGCAGGAGCTGCACGCGCCCGTCACGTTATGGCAGTCCTCAAAGATCATGTTGGGGTCCGAGTTGCCGTTGCAGTCGCAGGGGCGGCACGCGCTGCCGATCACCATGGGGTTCCCGTAGAAGCCCGGAGCGCACCTGAGGCACGCGCAGAAAGACAAAGATCCCCCGTGTAGCGTTAACAGACTGTAGGGGCGAGCGCTGTTCGCGAGCGCTTATGAAGGCCAGAACGGCACACGAGGGGGTGGGTAGCCAGCTCCACGCCCGGCCGCCTTTGTCTCCAAGTGGCGAAGGTGTACACACGGCACCGGGTACTCGTTTGAGGCCGAGCCGACCTAGGGGAGGCCCATGAGCGGTTCAGATAATCGTCACTGCTGCTGGCCGTGAGCGGGAATGGAGCGTACGAACGCAACATGCACACGCGCTGCGTGTCACCGCGAGGGGCCCCGGGAGTGGCACAACGCAATGCGACGTGGATCGGCGCGGCATCTACAACAGCACCGAATCCCAACAGCCGCGGGCTCTACAGGAACGGCGAGCCCATTTCATTCCCTAGAGAGAGGCAATCGGCCGTACGTACGCGTGTGTGTGATCTTGTGGCTCTGCGCGAGTCTCTGCAATACGGTGTCGATGTAGCCGGCATTGGAACATTGCCACACGTTAAGGCGCTGTTGAATTTTATGGAGAGCGGCTGTTAGTCGAAGGTCACCACGACACAGGAGGTCTCGAACTTGGACTCAAACAGGGGTATGGGAGTCGACAGCACGGACTGCGGAGTGAAGGGAGTCCGAGACAATAGGGGCAGCAGAGGAGAATGAGCGACCTCCGACTGAGCGAATGTTGATTTGGGACACTGACCAAAATGCTTGGCAGCTGGAGGAGACACTTTGTGTTTGTTTGTTGAACTTATTTAGGCCCTTACGTAGCCAACCGTGGTATTTGGAGGAGCGGAGGAAAGACAACAAACTAAACAACAAAAGGCAATTCTCATGAATTGAGTTTTCAATCCAGATGATTTTAAAGTGCACAGCTCCTGGAAGGGAGAGCGTTCCTGACGGCCACAGAAGTGCATCAGAAAGTGCCGCGCGATGTGGTGGACCGCCTTCGTTTGACGGCGAGTGGCGTGAGCGAAGCGGAAGGGAGACGACAGCGAGGAGGTAGGGGAGTGCACGGAGAGGGAAGAGGAAGAGAGAGCGAGAGATGCAAGGGCGAGACGGAGGTAGGGGAGCGAGTCCATGGAAGATGTTTAAGGCCTTGAGAGTGCGATTTTGAAATCGATCCGGGATTGTATTGCGAGCCGGTGGAGCAATCGGCAGGGGCCGTGTAAAGGGACAATTTATGCTGCCAATAAGCAACATCCGTAAACAATAGGCGGCAAAAGACGACGGGGGAGCGCTACAAAACGCAGCCTTGCTCTGCACGGTGTCAGGGCGACACCGAGGCTCGGGGAACCGGCCCACCGTTTGCACTGCGCCAGCATCGTGGCACGCTGTGGTACCTGTCACACACACTAGCCCATCACCGTCACACCGTGGTACCTGTCACACTTGCTCCCTGCGTAGCCGCTCTTGCACATACACTTCATCTCTCCGTCGCGGTCAGTGCAGCCCATGGAGAAACTGACGCAAGCACGCACACAGGTACACAGGTACACACGCACACACACACAGGCACACACACAGGCACGGACACAGGCACGGACACAGGCACACAGGCAGGTAAGCACACGCACGCACGCACACACGGCATGTTACAGGCAAATGTTCACACCTACCGCTGTATTGTATAATGATAATTATCATCCCTCGATCCAGGGACGTATCACATGAATGCGCTGGTAAGTGCAGGTTTGTGCAGGAGGGGAGCGTAGGATCGCGGTGCAGCAGTAGATTTCCCCCTCTGCTGCCCACGGTGCAACCTCGCAAGCCCAATGACAGCCTCTTTGTGCATGGTAGAGGTCATCCATCCCAGCACTATCCACCAAAGCTTTTTAAAGTGATGGGCTAGTGGTGGGCTAGTGTGTGTGGTGGTGGTGGGCTAGTGTGTGTGATGGTGGTGGGCTAGTGAGTGTGGTGGTGGTGGGCTAGTGAGTGTGGTGGTGGTGGGCTAGTGTGAGTGTGGTGGTGGTGGGCTAGTGAGTGTGGTGGTGGTGGGCTAGTGAGTGTGGTGGTGGTGGGCTAGTGAGTGTGATGGTGGTGGGCTAGTGAGTGTGGTGGTGGTGGTGGGCTAGTGAGTGTGATGGTGGTGGGCTAGTGAGTGTGATGGTGGTGGGCTAGTGAGTGTGATGGTGGTGGGCTAGTGTGAGTGTGGTGGTGGTGGGCTAGTGAGTGTGATGGTGGTGGGCTAGTGTGAGTGTGGTGGTGGTGGGCTAGTGAGTGTGGTGGTGGTGGGCTAGTGAGTGTGATGGTGGTGGGCTAGTGAGTGTGATGGTGGTGGGCTAGTGAGTGTGGTGGTGGTGGGCTAGTGAGTGTGATGGTGGTGGGCTAGTGAGTGTGATGGTGGTGGGCTAGTGTGAGTGTGGTGGTGGTGGGCTAGTGAGTGTGATGGTGTGGGCTAGTGTGAGTGGTGGTGGTGGGCTAGTGAGTGTGATGGTGGTGGGCTAGTGTGAGTGTGGTGGTGGTGGGCTAGTGAGTGTGGTGGTGGTGGGCTAGTGTGAGTGGTGGTGGTGGTCTAGTGAGTGTGGTGGTGGGCTAGTGAGTGTGATGGTGGTGGGCTAGTGAGTGTGGTGGTGGTGGGCTAGTGAGTGTGATGGTGTGGGCTAGTGTGAGTGGTGGTGGTGGGCTAGTGAGTGTGATGGTGGTGGGCTAGTGTGAGTGTGGTGGTGGTGGGCTAGTGAGTGTGGTGGTGGTGGGCTAGTGTGAGTGGTGGTGGTGGTCTAGTGAGTGTGGTGGTGGGCTAGTGAGTGTGATGGTGTGGGCTAGTGTGAGTGGTGGTGGTGGGCTAGTGAGTGTGATGGTGGTGGGCTAGTGTGAGTGTGGTGGTGGTGGGCTAGTGAGTGTGGTGGTGGTGGGCTAGTGTGAGTGGTGGTGGTGGTCTAGTGAGTGTGGTGGTGGGCTAGTGAGTGTGATGGTGGTGGGCTAGTGAGTGTGATGGTGGTGGGCTAGTGAGTGTGGTGGTGGGCTAGTGAGTGTGGTGGTGGTGGGCTAGTGTGAGTGTGGTGGTGGTGGGCTAGTGTGAGTGTGGTGGTGGGCTAGTGTGTGTGATGGTGGTGGGCTAGTGTGAGTGTGGTGGTGGTGGGCTAGTGTGAGTGTGGTGGTGGGCTAGTGTGAGTGTGGTGGTGGTGGGCTAGTGTGAGTGTGGTGGTGGTGGGCTAGTGTGAGTGTGGTGGTGGTGGGCTAGTGTGAGTGTGCTGGTGGTGGGCTAGTGAGTGTGGTGGTGGTGGGCTAGTGTGAGTGTGGTGGTGGTCTAGTGAGTGTGGTGGTGGTGGGCTAGTGAGTGTGATGGTGGTCGGCTAGTGTGAGTGTGGTGGTGGTGGGCTAGTGTGAGTGTGATGGTGGTGGGCTAGTGAGTGTGGTGGTGGGCTAGTGAGTGTGATGGTGGTGGGCTAGTGAGTGTGATGGTGGTCGGCTAGTGAGTGTGATGGTGGTGGGCTAGTGAGTGTGGTGGTGGGCTAGTGTGTGTGATGGTGGTGGGCTAGTGAGTGTGGTGGTGGTGGGCTAGTGAGTGTGATGGTGGTGGGCTAGTGTGAGTGTGGTGGTGGTGGGCTAGTGAGTGTGATGGTGGTGGGCTAGTGTGAGTGTGGTGGTGGTGGGCTAGTGTGAGTGTGATGGTGGTGGGCTAGTGAGTGTGGTGGTGGTGGGCTAGTGAGTGTGATGGTGGTGGGCTAGTGAGTGTGGTGGTGGGCTAGTGTGTGTGATGGTGGTGGGCTAGTGAGTGTGGTGGTGGGCTAGTGAGTGTGGTGGTGGTGGGCTAGTGAGTGTGATGGTGGTGGGCTAGTGAGTGTGATGGTGGTCGGCTAGTGTGTGATGGTGGTGGGCTAGTGAGTGTGATGGTGGTCGGCTAGTGTGTGATGGTGGTGGGCTAGTGAGTGTGATGGTGGTGGGCTAGTGTGTGTGATGGTGGTGGGCTAGTGAGTGTGGTGGTGGGCTAGTGAGTGTGGTGGTGGTGGGCTAGTGAGTGTGATGGTGGTGGGCTAGTGAGTGTGATGGTGGTGGGCTAGTGAGTGTGGTGGTGGTGGGCTAGTGAGTGTGATGGTGGTGGGCTAGTGAGTGTGGTGGTGGTGGGCTAGTGAGTGTGATGGTGGTGGGCTAGTGAGTGTGATGGTGGTGGGCTAGTGAGTGTGATGGTGGTCGGCTAGTGTGTGATGGTGGTGGGCTAGTGAGTGTGATGGTGGTCGGCTAGTGTGAGTGATGGTGATGGGCTAGTGTGAGTGTGGTGGTGGTGGGCTAGTGAGTGTGATGGTGGTGGGCTAGTGAGTGTGGTGGTGGTGGGCTAGTGAGTGTGATGGTGGTGGGCTAGTGAGTGTGATGGTGGTGGGCTAGTGAGTGTGATGGTGGTGGGCTAGTGAGTGTGATGGTGGTGGGCTAGTGTGAGTGATGGTGATGGGCTAGTGAGTGTGGTGGTGGTGGGCTAGTGTGAGTGATGGTGGTGGGCTAGTGTGAGTGGTGGTGGTGGGCTAGTGTGAGTGATGGTGGTGGGCTAGTGTGAGTGGTGGTGGTGGGCTAGTGTGAGTGGTGGTGGTGGGCTAGTTATGGGCTAGTGTGAGTGATGGTGATGGGCTAGTGAGTGTGATGGTGGTGGGCTAGTGTGAGTGGTGGTGGTGGGCTAGTTATGGGCTAGTGTGAGTGATGGTGGTGGGCTAGTGTGAGTGGTGGTGGTGGGCTAGTTATGGGCTAGTGTGAGTGTGGTGGTGGTGGGCTAGTGAGTGTGATGGTGGTGGGCTAGTGAGTGTGATGGTGGTGGGCTAGTGAGTGTGATGGTGGTGGGCTAGTGTGAGTGTGGTGGTGGTGGGCTAGTGAGTGTGATGGTGGTGGGCTAGTGAGTGTGGTGGTGGTGGGCTAGTGAGTGTGATGGTGGTGGGCTAGTGAGTGTGATGGTGGTGGGCTAGTGAGTGTGGTGGTGGTGGGCTAGTGTGAGTGGTGGTGGTGGGCTAGTGTGAGTGTGGTGGTGGTGGTGGTGGGCTAGTGTGTGTGATGGTGGTAGGCTAGTGAGTGTGGTGATGGTGATGGGCTAGTGAGTGTGATGGTGGTGGGCTAGTGTGAGTGTGGTGGTGGTGGTGGGCTAGTGTGAGTGTGGTGGTGGTGGTGATGGGCTAGTGAGTGTGATGGTGGTTGGCTAGTGTGAGTGTGGTGGTGGTGGTGGTGGGCTAGTGAGTGTGATGGTGGTGGGCTAGTGTGAGTGTGGTGGTGGTGGTCTAGTGAGTGTGATGGTGGTGGGCTAGTGAGTGTGATGGTGGTAGGCTAGTGAGTGTGGTGATGGTGATGGGCTAGTGTGAGTGATGGTGATGGGCTGGGCCACCTGTTGGAGTGCAGGGAGAGGGGACAGGGGCACGGCTGGCAAGGCTGGGCAGCACCCACGCTGGCGTTGCCCACGTGTCCCTGGCTGGCAGCGCTCGCAGCTCTCGCCCTGCGTGTTGTGCTGACAGCGCTGCGGAGAGAGAGACACGCGTGGTTCCATGCAGCGCACCAACGTCGCACCATCATCACACCAACGTCGCACCAACGTCACACCAACGTCGCACCAACGTCGCACCAACGTCATGGCAATACGTCCACTCCGAGATCCTGGGTACACACCCAGGCAGCCACGAGTGATGAAAAAAACCGGGATCTTAGGCGCAATGAGTTGTTCCAGCCGCAAATGAAACTGGAGCCACTCGGCGAGGGTGCTAAAGGAGTGGCCACCGGCGGTGCGGTGGTCGAGTGTGCACGATCCGCAACCACACCGGGGCCCCACGGGCAAATGACATTCCTTGCAGCAGGGCCCATGCCAACCAAAGGGCGCTTCTTTTTTTCGAGCCAGCGTCTGGTGACGTGCGAGTCAGCGTCTAGAGGTGTACGAGTGCTGCTCGTACCAGGCAGGCTCCGGTGCCGTGCTCACACTGGTCCGAGTGTCCATTGCAGTCGCAGGGCAGGCAGCGGCCCAGGTACGGCCCCCGCGTGTCCCGGTAGTAGCCGGGCGCGCACTCCTGCGGGTCCAGCACGCGCACGACACGCACAGCACGCAGATGACGCACGCGCATGCAACACGACGCGACACGCAAAAGATCCCCCAACTAAGCCTCGCGCACCCACATGGGGGCGGACAAGCAGAAGGATGCACAATAATTCCAAATCAGAAATCTTTATTCAGACTGGAGGAATCCGATGAGCTATGGAGCTCTTTTTCACGGAACTCTTGAAGCGAGTTACAACAACAAACAAGAGACAAAACGAGTGAAAATTAGAGAAAAAGTAAGCAAGTCACCATAAACAAATATTTCTAAACAAAGTATAACAAGTACAAATTGCATAAGTACAAACAAAGACGGCCACAGCACCGCGCGCTTTCGGACATCCGGAAGAGCCGTCTGGAAATTTCTTCATTCCGATATGAGGAAGCCAATGGAGCAATGGACTTTTAAATCATCCAGATTGAAAACTAATTTCGTTAAAACAGTTTTTTGTGTTTAGTTTGTTGTCCTTCCCCGGCACAGTCCGATTATCACGGTTGGCTACGTACCGTGCGAAAGAAGTTCAACGCGCATACACACATACACACATACACACATTCCTGCCGATAGTTATTCGTTTGGGATACAGTGGCTGTCCTATTGCGCCGGTTTATCCCACGGCGCGAGTCGTAGTGAAGAGGTCCTGATTTCTGACCGGTTGTCTGTCACTCGCGAGCAATCCCCCAAAAAGGATCAGCGAGGCCTCGCACCGGGCTGGCGTGGCCAGGAAAACAGAACGATGATGAGACGGGCAAGAGAGGCAGGGGGTGGGGGTCATCAAGAAGGCAGGGCACATGTTTATTGGGTTTTAATTTATAAGAAAAGGTTAGGGGGTGCATTCCAATGCAATGCATTCCTAAGCGAGCGGATGATTTGTGGAGAGTTGGCAACTGCCGCTTGCTAGGTTCTGCGTAGGAGAGGGAAGTCAACTCGAGTTATTATAGAGGCGCCCCTCGCAATAGCGGGGTGAAGCACGGATTCCAAGTTCAATTCGAAGAGACAGCGGCAGTGCCAAGGCTAACAAAGCCAGGGATTGGCCGAGGAACAGATTGTGAATTGCTTCCCAAATACGTCACGTGAACATGCCACGTACATTTGAGTACATACACACGTTCACGAAAGTACGTATTTTTGTATATTTTTCATCGTCGGCTCGCAGATAACCTTGCGATCACAAAAGGCAGGGGTTGTTTGTACCAGCGAGACTCGCCCCCACCAAAGGAAGTGGAGTTTCTCACCACTGGGGTCAGGAAATAACTTCGACTGAAATGTAAAGGACATCAAAGTTTTACCAGGTAATCTGGCCACAAATGAAAGCTCAGTGGCTTGTCATGTGGAAATTTATAGCAGCGAAATACTCTAAAACGCACGTTTCTATATGTGGAGGGGAAAAAAAACCAGAGGACCTGAAGAAAAATCGACGCGACCACGGGGAGAGAGAGAGACATGCAAACTCCAAATATGCAGCAGGTGTCAGGGTGGGGATGAACTCATGGACATCTGTGAAAAAAAGTTTTATAGCTCATCTGATTCCTTCAAGTATAAATCAATATTCTGATTTCAATTCTGACCTCCTGCATGCCAGGCGAGGCAGTTAACATCTCGCCACCGCGACGCCCCCAACAATGAGACTCGAAATCTAAAACACATCATCAAGAGTTGCCGGTGGTGCGCACAGTGTGTGTTTCAGTGTCGCTTCACCATAAGTGGACATTCCCAGACTGGTGTACGCCCTGGCTCGTGTGAGATCTGTCAGGCTCGGACATTGCAAGGCGTTTAGGTGAGCGGGCGGGGGGGGGGGGGGGGCAGAATCACAACCGCACATGCTGCGGCACATCGAGGGCTCAGCTTGATTTATATCGAACAAGAAAAGCAGAGAAAACTTAATTGCACGAGCCAGCCAGATGGACGTAACTCACAGACACATTGACGCTCACGCCCAAACAACGTTGTTCGCTTTGGGAATTCACACCCCGTGGTTATGTATCGAACCAAGCGGCAATGCGGCTATTAGAGAGTGCTCAACTCGCACGCGGAAGGCAGTGAGTTGGGCCCATTGTACTGCCAAAGTCAACACATTTGGAACAATCTTGTGATAAATGGTGGAGCAGCGGTCAGTGCAAGCGCACTGTGCTGTGAAGCCAGAGGCCTAGGTTCAGTTGCCGGCCATGGCTGACACCAGTGGTGACACGATCGGCACTTGTCCTGGGCTTCCCACCTTCACCAATATGCATTGACCAGCATGGTGAAGTATGGTGAAATAACCCCTCATGGACCATAATGGCTATAGGAAGCCCTCACCCGGCAGTATGTCACTGATGAACTGGATGTGTACGTGACATGAAAAATAGGGTTGCCCTCGTGAGACACTGGCTCCCGGCATGGGAATGTGTCATTTCCATCGCTGGCCCCTGTGCCCCTAATGGAGGCGAGCACGAGTCAGATTGTCTCCATTTCAACGACGTCGGAGGAAATGTGAGGCACATTATGGATGATAAAGACTATTTTTTATCTGACCAAGTAAGCCCTACTTGAGCAGTATAGCTCTTTTTCAGTCGCGACCTGGCCACAAATGATAGCCCAGTTAAGTGGCTTATCATGTAGAAATGTATAACAGCCAAAGACTTTAAGCACATGTTTCTAAATGTGGAGGGAAAACCCCAGGGGACCCAGATAAAAATCCAAGCGACCACGGGGAGAGAGAAACGCAAACTCCAAATATGCAGGTGTCAGGGTCGGGTTCGAACCCACGACCTCCTGTATACCAGGCGAGGTAGTTAACATCTCCTAGCCACAGCGGTGCTCCTGGCCAGACAGGGGAGGCTGGCCAGGGGTATCCATGGGCGGCGTGCGCGTGGTTCATGCGAGAGACACGACTTCACCGTGGCGCTCATTGATCGTGCCTGCCTTTGCGTGCAAAGCTCTTCCTCTGTCTTTGTGTTTGGCTGGATCTGCAGCAACTCACGAGTTTATAAGCTCAGATCACTTAGCCAGGACATCACTTGAGTTGACGTGCGATTGGCTTCAATGGCTGTGTTGAACATTCAGAGTTCACAGTGGTCCACTGGGCTCGTGTGCTTTCACACAGAGACCCGTAGACTCACAGTGATCCGACGACTCACAGAGACTCACAGACTCGCACAGAGACCCATAGGCATAGATACCCGCAGACTGTAATACAGAGTTCCCAGCTGTTCATGGCTGTGCGGTCTTACATAGAGAGACTCATAGACTCGCATAAAGACTCGTAGATTCACACAGAGACTCACCAACTTGCATCGTTCATAGCGGTTCACGTCAGCGTGGGTCGATGCGTCTGCTCGGTGCTTCGACAATCTCACGCCGCCGGATTTTATTTGAATCTCCACCCGTGAAGGCCGTGGACAGCTTCGCCGTGTGCGGATTCAACTTGCAAGCCCTTCGTTCCTTCGAGGTCAATTCAATCCTAGAGGTTCTCTAAGTTTGCGGTTGAGTAGACAGCACGAGTGGCGCGAACGGACACAAAACCTCACCGACAAATAAACAGAGGACATTCGTGGCCCTTTTAAAAGGAGGAACAACATTAGGCACTGTTGAAACAGACCGGCGAGTTAACAACTGCCCCAAACCTGAAGTGGATTTTCTGTTTAAACAAAACGGCCGTTAAGTCTGGCTTGGTAGGCCGCCTTAACTGCTCTGAGAATTCTCAATCGGTTGTCTGAGTGTGGCTCTCTAAGTCCCGGGCAAAGCGTTGAATCATGACAATCAAACGTTTATTGGCAGTGATTTGGTGATCCCGAGGGCCTTAAAGATGCTGGCTGATGAAACAACAAAGAATCCCCGTGTAGACTTTAACAGACTGTTGGGGCAATTGCTGTTAGCGAGCATCTATGAAGGATGGCACGGTACACGAGGGGGTCGGTGGCCAGCACCACGCCCGACTGCCTTTGTCTCCCCAAGCCACGGCTGCCTTGCCGGTGCCCTTGGCAAGTTCTGCTCACTGAAATTGTCTGTTCCACTACACTGGGCGCCACGGTGGCTCGGAGATGTTAACGACCTCGCCAGGTATGCAGGAGGTCGTGGGTTCCATCTCCAACCCCGACACCTGCTGTATATTTGGAGTTTGCATGTCTCTCGCCTCGTGGTTTTAGAACCGACATGCATTAAGAGCATTTGGCTGAGATAAATTTCCATGTGATAAGCCACTTCATTGAGCGATCGGCATCGCGCTCGCTGAAGGTGAATGCCTTCAGGGAAGTCGTGCGCTGTATACGCAACTGCGCCCAATTCTGTGAGTCACTTATAACCGCTTTGTGTTCCTTATTGCCATTTATGGACTCAGACTATTGTCTTATCCTCTCATAGAGTCCCTGGCACGTAATAATATGCTACACAGTGGCAGTAGGAGTCGCAAAATGCCAATGTATTACTAATAAACCCCAATGATCCGATCGAAATTAGGGATTAAAATTAGGGATTTCGATGGGATCATTGGGGGGGGGCACGTGCCACCCCACCCTCCCCCACTGGCTCCGCCAGTGCTGCTCACGGTATTTTGTTTTTATCTTCCACAGAAAACGTCGAGCAGCGCTCATCTCGACCTGTTGGTGACCCTGAGCCCAGCGGTGGAGATTCCGCATTCCCAACACCGCAATGTTGCGTGCCTCATTGCAGAGCACGAAAAAAAGATGCACAATCGCATATAAAGCTATTGTTTAGGGCAGGGGTGGGGAACGTTCGGCCCGCGGGCCATATAAGGCCCGCAAAATCATTTGGTGTGGCCCTACCAAGGCAACCGCAGGCGGGACTCGATATTCAATACATCTAGGAGCAAACCTGGAAAAGCAGTTGCGAGTAGCAACATCATCAATACCAGCTAACATCACATGCCTCGCCATAGAGAAGCAGTTCCAGCCATCACATTAGGGGTGAGTTACTTAAACGTTTGACCAAATATAACAGGCTAATTTTTAAGTTGATAATTTTGTATGGCCCGC